GCAGATAGCTTTATTGTCTTGGAAATGTTTAATTTATGAGCATATTGAAGAAAAAGGACTTTGAATATTTATATAGTGATTTATAATCATTGCCTCTACAGGGAATTTTATGGCTCTTTTCTGAAGAAATACATTCAATCAGTTATGCTTCCACTGTACTTACGTTCAGTGTCCTGTTGTATAAGCCACCGTATCAATAGTATAGTAAAAACTTTTGGCATATTCTTCTAGTATATCTAGATAGATCTGATTCAAATTCATTAAAAGCATGATATTTTTGATTCAAGTAACTCATAGAGAAAACTGTATTTCCATGATATATAAGTAGCAATTCCCTTTTCAAATAATGGGATGTTCACTAATGAAAACAGAATTTGAAATGGGGCTATTGAGAGCAATAAAAGAGAGCAAGACCTAGGGGAACTATCGGATTTATATGCAGATGCAGCTCTGAAAGCTGCAAAAGGGCTCTTGCAGTTTTTATTTGAATATATATGACTTAAGATCATGTATAAATTTAACTTTTTATTCAAGTATTTACGTTCTTGTCACACTGTAGCTGATAAAAAAATGAGCACGCATTCCTTGGCAAAGTGGTGCCTATTGTCAGGTATAGCAACAGTCACAAATACTTTAGAACTGAAGTTGACAGAGGGGGGAAGTGTTTAAAGTATGCAGGAGATGTTGAAGGAAGCACTGGAGTGATGCTAAGAAAATAATTGAAAATAAATGTACAATTAAACTGCACAAAGTACTAGCACAGGCTAAATCATCCAGTGCTAAAAGCAGGTTTACTGAATGAATTAATCAAGCTGCTTGCTCCTAACTGCTGTTCTAGGAGATAAAACCCCTTCAACACCTGCAGAATCCATCCAATATATTTTTAAATTGCGTCTTAACTGAGACTTACTGTCTCATTTATCTTAAATGTGACAACTTGTGAAAACTAATTAATAGTGACTTATAGTTTAGTAAAGATAGTGTGCAAAAATGAACTCATTCCTAGAAACGGAGACCTACATTCTTTAGATACGCGCGGGCAGCCTAGGGGTGATTAGTTAGAATCAAACACAGCAAGTGTAACCAAATGTTGCCTGCAAATACAGTGCTGAGTAGTTGCTTGTCATACAGTGGTCACCAAGTGTGTGCCACTTTCCTGTAAACCTTCAGCATAACCACGAGCCATTCCTTTCTACCTTGTTTCCTAGTAAACAAGCGTGTTGGATTAGCCTGATAATTCTGAAATGCCATCTGCTTTTATCCATTAGTTGAAGAATGTCACAGCAGAATGAAGAAGCCCTGGCTTTTGCTACGATTCTGTTAGCCTCCGATTGAAACACTGTCTATAGGAGTGTAATTTCCCTTAGAGATATCTCCAATGATTTTAATTAAGTTCTCCTTAGGCTGTTACAATGATCAATGGAAGTTTGTCTACGATTTATAAATTCTGTTTGATATTGAGGATTCTTCTTGTCAAACTCAGTTTTAAATATGAGGCTTTATTGCCTTTTCTGCTTTCACTTGTCTCCATGCTGAACTAAAAATCACAGCAGGCAGTAAGAGGAAATCTTGCACCTGAGGAAGAGGTAACAACCAAGGAGTATCGAAATCTGATGGTCATCATTTAAATAAGTGTGTTCCTGTCAAGGTGGTGCCCCCTGGGCAGGAAAACAAGCATTCAAGTCTGAATTCAAGGCTCGCAATAACTGTGGACGGAAAGCATATGCTCTGGGAGGTGAAGGGGAGGATTAGATCACTTAATGAAACAGATTGAAATTGGGACATGTAACAACAGAAAAACTAGAGATTCTTTCAGTAGCAAGGGGAGGCTGTGAAAAGCAGATAAGAGCCATGATCTCTCTGCCTTTCCAAGGTTGTTTTAATCCCAAAGAATAGTCAGTGATAGTGAAGAAATTGAGGCCATGATTTTATTACTGTCACTCTGCATGGGTCTGTTTGCATGTGTGTATACATATATACGTATACATATGTATAATTTTTTTGGATTAGTGAAGTGAAAACATTGGCTTTGGAATGTCTGCAAAGCCTGTGTATGTGTTTGCCTCTCTTACAATGTTTCCCTAAATAACGGTGACTCCAAACTTATCCTGATATTGAAGCTCTGAGAAAGCTGATACCAAACCAGTGGAGTGTCTATGTGCAAAATCTTCAGTGATCTGGGACAGGAGCAGCTTGAGATTGCATTTCCATGGAGAATCATCAGTGAGATGCCACATGCCCAGGACAGGACTGAAGCAAAAGGCAAAGGTGGTCACCCAGCATATCCACAGAGGTTCATGAGCAGAGTGACAGTGTCCAAGTGCAAGAAGCCTTCTGGCCTGGTCCAGCAGTAGTGAGCACTGAATAGACTGTAAGAACAGTGAACTTGGAAGGCCAAAATTCCTGAAACAAGAGAGATGCTAGGAAGCCTCCAAATCTTCCTTACTTTTGGTGAACTATAAAGTTTCAGCTGCTTTTTTTCTTAGGGGTTCTCCTAGAGTTTCTTGAATTTACTGAGCAACAGCTGATCTTCAGAGTGATCTGAGGTTGGTCTGAGCATTCCATTCGAGACGGGGGGGTCGCATTAAAGGCTGTGAGTTTTTTTTTAATTGGAGAAGGCATTTTTATTTAAATGCCTTCTTGGATCAGGGCCGAATATACTTGGTGCTTTGCAAAATTGAGTTTGTAATGAATCAACGAGAAACTTATGGCTATGTTAATACTAATAAATTAAGCAGTACCAGGGAATTTTTCTAGACATTGGAAAGTGATCATCTGCATTGTTAGATTGTTAGAATGATCCCTAGTGTGAATTTGATCTTGCCTAAGCAGCATTTTCTCAGCAATCTCTGAGCACCTTTGAGGAACTGGCTTGGTCCAAGGGCCAGTTCTACAAGGCTGTTTGCATGCAGCCATACTGTTTTAGAGACTGAGAGAGTTTAATGTGAGCTTGTTTACGCTAGTTAACCTCAGTGCCAGAGAGAGGTCCTGGGCATGTTTAATTTAACAGTGTAGCTGTGGACTGGAATGGCGTGTTTGCTTGTGCTGGTTTTATGTGGAATGCAAAAAGGTTAAAAGAGGCAGGATCACCTCACCACGTGCTCTGAAGTCCTCTCCGAGGGCATCTCAAAGAAGGCAAAATAGCTACTTAACAATTTAGTCTGTGGCCCTTGTTGGCACATGTACTGTCTCCAATTTGCCCCATGCAGAGACACAGAGAGCAGGTAGAGGCACTGGCTGGAGCAGATGTTAAGAAGATTGTGTGGCTGCCCACAATGCCAATGGCAAGAAAAGGCTGAAGCTGCTGCTTTCACACAAACCTAGGCATGTTCTAGCGTAGTCCTCCTCTCCAGCAGCACAGATAAGAGCGTGAATCTCATGTCTCAAATCCTCATGATTCATTCACATAAAATCCATTTATTGAGGCTTTCACACTGCATCCAACTGGAACAAATTGTGAATCCTTGCTTTGCTGTGTGACTCAGAGGGATGAAATGAAGGGTGTGAAGCTTGTTCACATAACAATGCCACTAAAATTAGAAAGGCCACAGTGTTTTTTTGTGGTTGGGAGACACATTTCCTTCTCTCCCGTAATTGGCTGGAAATCTTCATACGAAGCTGCCTGCGACTGTAAATAGCCTTCTTGTGCAGATTCTCCTTGGCAGCAGAACTTGCCTTCTGCTCTCATGGCAAAGCTCTGCACAGGAAGCTGCCAGCCAACCCGCCAGTGATGTCAATACAAAAGCAGTGTTTGTACCCATGTAATTTTGAAAAATGGAGTTGGAATGAAAAACAGGGAGAGAGCAAATAGTGATGATTTCATAGGGTAATCTGAAACAAGTAGTCTTTCTGCCTTTGGGAATCACATAGGTTGGGCTTCCTGGCATGTTAGCAGTCATTCTTGTGACTAATTATGAATAATCAACCGTTATCCGTCACATGTGATTAAGCAGCCTACAAATCAAGCTGATACCAAAATGTATTACTACTTTGTAATGATTACCCTAAAACTGGCTGAAAACTTTTGTTAAATTGTTTGTAAAATAATTTCTTCTTGTAAGTTATTTTCTAGAAATCCCATAAAGTCTTGTGCAAATAATAATGGGGGTATTTTTGTGTTAGAGTACAATATATTTTTACTTTGTACTCATCTGAAATTTTTTCGTTGTCCCAACATCTTCAAAACTGGTAGCATTTTAAGAGCTCTTAAGAACTGGGAAGTCTGTTTTATCACTCTTTTGCACATTTGTGGGTAGTTTATTGCTGCATGGAGTTCTGTTTTTCATATTTACAAGACATCATTGTTCATATGTATTGGGAATTCACATGGCCATTCTTTTCCATTGAGGCTCATGTCCTGCTGTGATAAATGTCAAGGTGAAATATGAATCCACAGAGCCAGGTGTAAGTTCTCTGTTGTTCCAGCTGCTCTGCCTAGGCTGTTCTTCCCAACTCTCCAAGGACCTTGTTCCCTGTTAAACCTCAATATTTGTCAGCTGGGGGTGAAACAATATGCCATGATTTTGTTTTACTCTCATTTTTAGCCTTCACAGAGTTGAAGGATAAGAGGATGCTCTGCACTGGGGAAGGGGCCGTGGGAATGAATAAGAGAGAGAAGGCTGGTTCAGGGCTCTTTCTGGATCTCGGTAAAAATGGCCCAACAGATGGCTTAATAAGGTAACTGATTTAATAAGACAGAATAATAAGAGGAGTTTATAATAGCTTGAATGACCAAAAAAGAGAGTTTTCTCTCCATGGACAGGATCTGCTCTGTGCAGCATGCCATGGGAAAATCTATCCAGGCTCTGTCTGATGCTGCATGAATGTGGGGTTTCCAGCATCTGAACGATGTAAGATTTACTCACTATCTATGTTCCTCTGCTTATTATGGGTCTTTTTAAAGCAGTTATCTTGTTAGGACATTTGTTGTTGGGCCTTTCTTATTAAGATCCAGAAAGAGCTCTGCATGATCTCTCTCTTACCTCACCCTCTCCACCTCTCCCCTGGTGGACAGTAACACTACATCACCTACTCAAAAATCCTTTTCTGTTTAAACTTTTCCTGGTAGCCCAAGATTCACTAAAAAATAACAGCAGTGGTTCTTAAATCTGCTTAGCTGGATCTTAACAAGACTCACTGATTTAACAGTGTTTATCTCTAGGAGATGCTGTTTAATGTGCTCTTTGATAAACAGTCAAGTAAAAATATTTCAGCATTCTTGCATGATGGCAATTATATGAGCAGCCATTTTGCAGGCTTATCTCCATTATAAAATATTTGTTTATCTCTAGAATCTGTCAACAGACACAGTGGCTACAGTAAACAATTTTTTTTGCTGACAATGCTATTCTCTAGATGTGTAACTCGTAAAGCAATACTACTTTGTTGATTAGAACATATATGCTTTTCCAATTCCATGCTCACAGACCTGTCTTTTGATATCCACCAGACTTCATGCTGCATTTTTTATCATACCTAGATCTCAAAATATGGTCTTGGCTCTTCCTTTTTTTTTTTTTTTTTTCTTATGCAAAGAAAGAAGAATTTGCTGATTTAACATATTTTGATAAGAATTAGATCTATATTTTCGGTCAAGATCTAATGTAAAAACCCAACCCATTATTATACTTTTTGCTAAGAGTCATCTCAGAGATTCCTTGTACTATTACTCTTCTGGTGTGATTTAATGTGTCAAATTTCATTTTTGTAATAAAACTGTTTCTTACCTTCCATCTTCATAACTCTTATAGCAGAAAAAAAAAGAAATAAGATACAGGATATTTAAACAAGTATTTTAAATATTCAGAGTAAATGGAAGCAACCTTTATCTGTAAGTGTGAATTTCATAAGAACTTTGTCAGTCTGTAATCCTTTGCAAACATGTATTTGGAAACACATCCTGAATTCATAGAACACTTTTTTTTCTGTTAAGAGTATACAAGTTAAGAGGCCAGATTTAAATGACTGGCAACTCATCATGCAAATTTATGTAGAGATGTGAGAAAAGTCTCTAGAGTTTTAGTTTCCAGAGGAGTAAAAAATGCATTTGCTATATTTTTATTATAGAAGTAATTCATGGGAAAAGAGAGGAGATTAGTTTTCATTACCATTATTATTATTTTATAATCCATAAGGACTATCTTATTTTCTTTTACACTGAGAATATATTACAAAAAACATTGTATGGGTTGCCTCATTTATCTAGTATACAGCTATTTCAAAGTGTATTGTGATTTCAAATCATTGATCATTGTGTGATCAATAGATCATTCTGAAAATATTATTAAAACATTTTGAGATTGCATTGAATAACTTTAATGTTATGCCTGTGTTCCAGTTTTAGGTTGAAAAGTAAAAAAGGAGAAAAACTGCTGTCATATTAAACATGTATTATTGTAAAAAGCACCCAACACAATACAATATGTGCCATTAAACAAATGTCATTTACTCTTGCCGAATAATAGGTATTAACTACTTTTTACTTTCAAATGTTTGTAGGCAAATTTAGCCTTGCAAGAGGGAAGACTTGCGGCTGCCCAAACAGAACTGAATAATGCACAAATTCAGCTGGATGAGAAGCAAATGGAACTGGATCAAGTACAAGCCATGTATGACACTGCTATGAAAGAGAAGCAGGCCTTACTTGATGATGCTGAGGCATGCAGAAGGAAGATGAACAATGCCACAGCTCTGATTGAAGGATTAGGTGGAGAAAAGGTACTAGTGCGTATGAGTAGGTTTCCAGCACAAAGTAGGCTCTCAGGTTTGAGGATGCTCCATAAAGTTCATTAAGAGTGCTCAAGAAATCCAAGGCATGGCAACATCTCGATATTGTATGACACTTTATTTTAGCTATATGTATGTTTTTTGCTTGAACGTAATGTATCTAATGAAGTAAAATGATGTCTTGTGTTAACTTAATTCGTCTGTATGAAGATTTATGTCATATCATATGGCTCGTATTGAGATAAAGTTCAGATTTAAAGCCAAGGAGCCAAATTCCTTTTAGATTTAGTAAGAAGGGGAATTAGGCTTAACCTAAATAATTGCCCTAAAATATTTATAAGAAGGATTAATCTCTTTTTCTCACCAAGTATACAAGAATAGGAATTTGAAGCTTGACTAATTTCCTGAATTATGTTTGAAGTTCATATTTCTACTGGAGCCTTTACAGAATTATGGGCTAATCGTTATCCTCTGCACTGAGCTTGAAATTTACCTTTCCTGTGCAGATTTTTCTGGCTTCAGCTTGAAGGTTTCCAGAGGAAGGAGGGTACTCTTTTTTCTCATCTGATTATTTGATTTGATAATTCCTTGGTTGTTTTCACACAGAGTCAAAATTGATGAGAGTTTTGACTTCAACCATTGCATCCTGTGAGGCCGGGACTTTAGCATTTGTTTGCATATCTGCACTTCAAAATATATCAGTCAAAAATGATAGATGCTTTACTGTATTTTTCAGTGAATTTCTAAATTTAACAACAACACTGAAATAGGAAGCTACAGTGCCTTATTGTGGGTTTTCTGAAGCCTTGTGCTATGTGGTCTTGTAAGAGCTATTATTCCATTCTACTTTTGAAAATTCAGACAAAAAATTAAAAGGCTATATATTAAAACGCACTTGGAGCCTTGGGCAAAACTGACATTGGTTTAAATGCATATTTTCTAAATTTAAAACATGTAGGTCCTGACCAAGATAGCTTGCAGAGTGGTTGGAAGGGAACAGAAACCTGGAGAGAAAGGAATAAATAAAATTTAAAAAAAAAAAAAAAAAGAAAGTCACAGAATCATGGAACAATTGAGATTGGAAGGGACCTCTGGAGATCAGCTAACTCAACCACTTCCTGCTCAAAGCAAGGTCAAATAGCGCAGGTTGCTCAGGGCATAGTTCAATTGGGTTTTGAATATCTCTGAAGATGGACACTCCACAACCTCTCTTGGCAACCTGTTCCAGTCCTTGACCACTCTCAGTGTAAAAAAGCATTTTTGTGTCTTTAATTGTAATTTCTTGTATTTCAATTTGTGCCTATTGCCCCTTGTCCTTTCACTGGGTGCTCCTGGAAAGTGTCTGGCACTATTGTCTTTACACCCTCCCATCAGGTATTTGTGCACATTGATAAAATTCCCCGAGTCGTCTGTTTTCAAGGCTGAACAATCTCAATTCCCTCAGCCGGGGCTGACCCCTTTACATCTTTACATCTCTGGCCAGTTATTTCTTGTTTGCAAGTCTGAGGTTCAGCAAACCGCTTTCGCTCATTAGATGCTCTGCGCTGAGAATTTTTTGTCAGTGCACTCCTTAAAACTTCCTAGATTGCTGTGCCTTGCTGTGTTGTCCTTCCAGAAGATATCAGAGTGGATCACAGCATGGAAAACAAACAAGAAATTAGAGGTTTGCATGTGGTTGCAGAGTCATGATCTCATGGGGATCACGGGGACGTGGTGGCACTTCAGAGAGTTGCCCAGCTGTGCTAATTTCCCAGAAACAGTATGAAAGCTATCCCCATCATTCTGTCTGGTAGGCACTTCTTTGTTTATGTGGATATGCTTGGGGTGCTTCTCCATTAGCCCTGTTTTATAAATTACAAGGTTGCTACTCTTTGTATCACCCCACGTATTTTGTTTGCCAACCTGGTCCTCCACTTCCCCACATGATTGTTGGCCATCATCTCCCTTCCACTTTGTTCCTCCTTTAAAGCACCTACGAGTTTGGCGAGCTTGTTGGCAAAGATGCTTTTTCTCCACTTGATCAGGTCATTGCCATCTCTTCTTCTTCAGAAAAGAATGATTTGAAGCCAAAAATACTCCTGGTTTGAAGAACAATCATTTACTAGAAAGAGATAAATTCTTAAGTTAGATCTTCGTGTTAGTTTTGTGCTTACTTAGTCTAACTTATTTATAATATTTTACATACAGCTTCGTTGGACAGCAAGCAGCAAAAACTTTCAAAATCAAATTATTAATTTAGTGGGGAATGTTCTTCTGGCCACTGGATTTCTCTCTTACTCTGGACCTTTCAATCAGGAGTACAGAAATTTGCTGCTCCAATTGTGGAAGAAAGAGATGGACAACAACAAGATTCCATACAGTAATGTAAGTGTTCATGTTCCATCCCGACCTTACTCTTTGCCTTGCAGAGGAATAATGTTCTGCTGCAGAAAAGTACATAATTGGAAGATTATTTACAGGCTCTCACATTCCATCAAATTTTTTAAAAATAAAAAATCTGAACAGTTGACAACTGAGCTTTGAAAAAAATGCATTTTAAGATCCTCTTTATACTGTCCTGCATTGAAAAATTGGTATATAGGCCATAGGCCAAATCTGAGGGAGAGATGCGGTCTGAAGTCAGCTACCCTGGGAGGAAATTTCATAATATGGGAAATGAAGTAAAATTTACTAGCTTAGAATAGATTTACCTTATCATAAGGAGTTCCATCAGGTACTCACAGTTTTTCCCCATAGTTGGTAGGGTGGTTTTTTTGCAAATGCCATGTTGTGTCTGTAATTTCAGTCATAAAGTCAAGCAAATCAGCCACATTGAGTATTTCCTGAAAGTGGAAAATACGTATATTGAAGAAAACACCAATTGTAACTGTTTCCCTCAGCATCTTAAGTTATCCCCTTAGAAGCAGTAACTTGTGAATATGTGGTTGAGAATACCAGCCCACAACTGGTATTACTGTGCCTCTATAGTTTTCCAAGCAGTCTTTGAGGAAGGAGTTCCCAAGTTAAGCCCACAGAATGGCACAGAGGTGGAGAGATTGGTCTGTGGGTTCTGGCTTGGGTGGGAGTTATGCCCCAACGAACTTCCAGGGACCCAGCAGGATTTACCCTGTTTGCACTTTTACCATCTGCAGTCCCAAATGCTGCCACTAAAAATGTGCCCTCTCTCTAGATATCCATTTTTTACCCTGATGTAAATCTAGAATATAAAGGGTGAATTTGAGTGAAAACTTTTTCATATATTTTGTATGTCCGACATATTACATCATAAATTCTTTAACCTGCAACAAACTAGTCTAGGAGGGAAAATTTCCCTTATTTTCACTTGGGATTACTTAAGTGCAATATTTTGATAATCTAGATTTGCTCGAAAACGTCTGTAAAATGGAACTAAATGGTTTTTCCTTTTTAAAGCTTCACACTGTTATTCTTAGTGTAGCTTGATTAAGTCTTGATTGACATAAATATACTCTTACACCCAGTTATAGAAAAAAACATGGCACATTTTGAACCAGGAAATATCACCTCTGCACCATCCTGCATTATCAATCGATACCCTCCTGTCATACCTTCTGCTGTGTACCCACACTATTTAATTTAGTTTAATTTGAAGTGTCTTGTTGAAATGATTAAGTTAAGCAAAACCTGGATTTTGTAAAGCTTGGTTTACACCACTTCAACTTGCTCCAGTCTAAGCTCTTAAACCCATGAACATTCGTCACCAGTGAGGCTGTTCTCAGTGAGCCCGACATTGCAGCTTCTCCTCAATTGGCTTAAGCCTGTGTGGATGGAGGTGGCCTAAAATGCAGTGGAGCTACAGTCCCACCATGCAGCTTCAGTTCCCTGTCACATCATATATGACCTTTATTAAAGCGAGCAACCTGCATGCTGGGACCATGATACAGGGCAAGTTTCTTTACGTGAATCTTATTCTTTCCTTTTACTACTATTTGCCTCAGGAGTGCTGGACCTGGCACCTGTTCTGGTGCATAGGCTTTGCTTGTGGCCAGCAGCAGCCTTGTTCCTATTCCATGACTTTTAGGTCTATCCAATATTCTCCCTTGCACCTGGAAGATGGATTCATGCTGAAGGCAGAATTTAGGCCATAATAATCAATACTTTCCTTCTAAGTAATCAATCTATGTTGCCTTCCACTTGGTTTTGTGAATACCTGCCAACATTTTCTCCAGCAGTAAAGGCTGGAGAAATAGTTCAGGGGTCTCTCTTACTCTTGGCACAGGACTGGAGGCACTAAGCCTGAATGGGTCCTGTCCTCAGCTGTCAAAGCTTTTGACAGAGCAGGTGCTGCTGGAAAGTGCTGGGAGCAAGTGAGCAACCTGTGTACAGCTGTGGCTGTACCATTGTGAAACAGTTGAAGGTAGATTGGTATCCCTGCTGCATCTTCTTTTCAGATTTGTGGGGATTTGACACTTAAATCGTGTGCTTAGGAAGACCTCTTTGCCATGAGAAGTTTGTCATGCCATTTGTCTCATAGATGTTACTTGTGAATCTTTTGGTTTGGTTTTGGTTTGTTTTTCACATTAAATGGTGCATAATGCTTCTCATAACAGTGATTAACCTTGACCTGACAGAGTGAGCCTCACAGCCCAGCCCAATTTATGCTATGACTTACAAAGATGGATGATTCTGACTTGCACAGCAAAGCTCTTTGAAAGCTCGTGATGATAAGTAATATGTAAGGCCAAGATGGATTTATTAATAAAGTACCAGTAGCAGTGTAGTCTCAGGCAAGATTCTTTACCAGTGTGGTATGGGAGTTATCCTACATACATTCATCCCAGGGAGGCTCTTTCTCAAATTCACTGTACAAGATGTTCTTAGAAGCTACTTACCTGGGGGAATATCTGTCAAGATTCTTACCATTTAAGGATAAGAACTTGGATGTGTAATGTCCTTAGAAAACAAGACATAACGAACTAAAATTCTGGCTTTATGAAGATGTTCTGACCACATTACTACTCAGCTGCATCCCTCAAAATTTGAGGAGTACTTTTTGATGGTTTCTGTGTCGCTTATTTTATTTTATTTTATTTTTAATATAGACAGGTTAGACATAGGATGCCATAATTAATGAGTTTCAAACCATAATTACCATTCCGTTTAGATAGTTGCTGTTGAAGACAGGATTATGATTTCAATGATAGTGTATGGGAGACAGTTTTAATTTTTTCCAGTGAATTAAGTACTCACAAAAGGCAGCATATGGGCTTCTCTTGATGCTTCACACCACTGGAAAGAAAGCAGCTTTGCAGTTCAAGGAAAAGGCTTGACATCTGCCTGGCTTTGTCACAGACTAACTGGCTGTGGGTGTATGAGTCATTTAGGCATAGCAATTTAGAGAGAGCTGTTTAAAATTAGCTATCTATCTGTGTAGTTAGGCACTTAAATTAGCTAAGTTTCAGAGTTGCATAGTGACTGATACTTCCTGCTGCAGTAAGAAAAAATTCAAAGCTCTTGAGACCCTACTCATCTGCTTAAGGAGCTAAATATGGGTTTAGGTTCCAATTGCTGAAAATTTTGGCTATTAAATGCTTTACTGTCCTTTTCACAAATGGAAATGTGATTCTTAAAGTTTCTCTGTCTTCTGAGAATGGTTTGTGTTGCTTCATTCAGATTCTTCAATAATCAGGGTAGTAAAAAAATCAAAGGAGTAAAAAAGCTTCTGAGTCTTGCAACCACTGGTATTACTAACTCTCATGATTGTATCACAAGTCTCACAGTATTTGAAATTTTGCTTTAGGCTTCAATTGCTGAATTATGTGATTTTTGCAGGAGTTGCAGGCTTTTTCTTTCTTTTTAAACGTGTTGATTCTATGACCATTTAACATATGAGCTTGAAATGCAATATTTATAAATATCTTGATTAAGAAAAATATTTCCACCAAAGAAAGCGTACACAAAGGTGCTTACACTAAAGCTGACTGAAGTTCAATTAGAAGTAATTTAAATGGAAGTATGTCAGTAAATTCTTCTCTGTTTTAGGGAAACACATACACCTCTGCTTTATACTCAAATATGCAACGAAGTTCTTTCCCAAATAGGATATATGAGCCATCATATGTCTCAACCAGGGACTTCTGTCCATACACACATCATTGTGTATGGCATTATACATATAAATTAACTAAATTTACTTTGCTGCTGTTTAGGGTAGATTTAGATCAGATCTAAGGAAGAAATTTTTCACTGTGAGGGTGGTGAGGCACTGGAACAGGTTGCCCAGAGAAGTTGCAGATGCCTCATCCCTGGAAGTGTTCAAGGCCAGGTTGGATGAGGCTTTGGGCAACCTGGTGTAGTGGAGGATTTCTCTGCCCATGGCAGAGGGGTTGGAACTAGATGATCTTTGAGGTCCCTTCCAACCCAAACCATTCTATGATTCTATGTTTGTAGAGAAAGCTTACAAATAGGAACTACTGAGTGAAAAATCTAAGGAGGAAATAAAAAACTCCTTTCAATTTTATTTTTTTTAAAACTCACATCATTATTAAGCTACTTTTCTAATTTGGAGAGCTTGGTTTGTGTTTAAGCACTGTTTTCTTCTCATACTCATTCTTGAGAGGCCGGTCACTGTTCATAGTGAATAAAATAAAGCAGGTTAGTCAATGTGTGCAAATCAAGCTTTAGGAGAATACATGAGCTGGGAAGAGTTCTGACTATAGCAACAATAACTTTCTGTGATAGTTTATGGTTATTGATTCATAGCTCATAAAATCTTTCTTCTCTGAGTCTCCCACGAGCCATCTTGTATTTGTATACATACTTGGAGGGCACTTTACAGCAGGAGGAAGCTCTTGTGACCAAGACAACCCTTTCTCTTGAGCTAGCAAGAAAAGAGTTTGCCAATACCAAAATCAGCTTGTCATTACATATTGAGCTAGCTTCAGAGTCTCTCCGACACTCTTTGATGGACATCAAAGCCTCAACAGAATTCACTTTCATAATTGACCAACTTCAAAGATTTAGGCACTGAACTTTAAAAAAAAAAGGAAACAGTGAACAGTAACTACCGAATACATTATATCATGCATTATGATCAGAATAAGAAAATACCTTCCATCAAACATTTTAGTATAACACCGCTGGATGGTACTAATTTTGTAATTACCTGTTATTAGGACCTGAACCTTACTGGTATGCTTGTTGACAATGCTACAGTGGGTGAATGGAACCTCCAGGGTCTTCCAAATGATGACCTTTCAATTCAGAATGGCATCATTGTCACAAAAGCATCTAGATATCCTTTGCTGATTGATCCGCAAGGTCAAGGAAAGATCTGGATTAAAAATAAGGAAAAGAATAATGGACTCCAGGTAATAGTTCATTTAATATTTTTGTGTGTGTGTCATTTCACATCATTGCAATGCCAACTGTTTTTTCTGTCATACTTTGGCCACGTGTAATTGAAATCTGATGTTTATAGTATACAGTTAGGCAGAAATTAAAACAAGACTGACGCAAAATCTGTGACCTATCTGTATCAGGGTGAAACAGCTTGTACTGCTTTATCGTCTCCCAGAAAGACAGTTTCAAGAGCAAATTGGAATTATATGTTATGCCATATGTATTTTTATGATGAATCTTTTAATTACTTGTCATAAAGAAAGAGAAACATAGAGGAAAGTAACTGACTTGCAAAATCAAGACCAGACAGGATCAGGCAGTTGGTGCTGCATGGCAATAACATTTTAGGGTAAGTATTTTAAGAGGAAAATAGGGAAAAGGAAAAGGGAGGAACTGCAAAAAGAACAGTGGCCTGAGGTAGAATGGAAATCTAGTGATCTTTGAGTCATATAAAAGACAAAGGCCAAATTTAGGCTGCATCTTGATGATTAAATGCATGTGATAAATTAATTTATCCACCCTTCTCACTTTCTGTCTAGCAGTGCATCCTGTTTGGGATCTGGGTCTTCTATTTAATTCAAAGCTTTCTTTTTTATCCCCTTCTAATCAGTCTACCCTCCATGCTTTGTTACACCAATAAGGATAAGATGGGTTATGATAAAGATCTAAGTGCATGATATATTTTCAGGACATATTGAGCATGATACGAAAGTGTCAGTTGTTAATATCAGTTGTTAAAATCAAGTCTATCCTACAACTGTTGATTATCACATGAATACTGTGGTATGCTATGTTCACTCAAAATGAGACTGATGGATAACTGAGAACGAAGGTAAGGATAGTGACATCCAGAGAGCTGATGGCATCTCGGTGATGTCGTTAGCTAAATCCTTAACCTTCTGGAGCTTGACCTAGATCTTTATTTCCTAGCACTGTTAAGAAAGTACCAACATTCAGTCCTACACCAAATCTAGTTTCTGGTAAGTTGAACGTGCTCAAAAAATGATGTAGAAACACAGCTAGAAATGAGAAGTATTGACTGAGAAGAGACAGAAAAATAATGTACAACATTCAAAGATCTTGGAAAAATGTGTTCCTTTATTTAAAAACATGATGAAAAGCTCTCCTAAAACATAAGTTGTATTCACAGAAGAATTTAGGCATTTTGTGACTGTGTGTAGGTAACATGGCTTCCTCTAAATTACATCAAACCTTACTTTGGCCCCCCAAAATTGCATCAAGAAACACTAGTGTGAGTAACCAACAGGAAACAATAGAGAGAAGGATGTATCTCATATTACATCCTCTTTGAGACTTGCATCTCCTACTCAGGATTTCAGAGAGCTGCCAAGCTGGGCTCAGGAGTGGCAACAGTGAATCTCCTTCAGTTAGGGGCCTATGCTTACTCTTTCTGCCATGTTGTAGCCTTTTCCTCAATAATTTTGAATTGTCCTCCAAGCTGCAACTTCAGTTCCCTGCCTTAATTGGCTCTGAGTCTGTAATCGCCCACCCTGCAGGTGGCTGCTCTCTCCCATGTGCTGGCATACAGCCTGTGGAAGGGATCTGCGAACACACAGGTTCCATTCCCTGGTCCAGTAATCGCGTAAAGATCTTATATCACAAAGTCACCAAAGCAGGGACTGGGAGATGTAGATTAAAATACCGTTTCCTCTTTCCTCACTATTCATACAATATAAATGATGATGACACTTAACTGATGAGCCAGAGAAAAACATCTTCTAGACTTGCCTTATGATCAGTATGTGTGAATATCCAGCCCATGAAATTTGTGAATCCTGACTGGCCTTAACTACTGAGCTCCTGAGCACTCTGAAAACTTGCACGGATTTGAATACACACAGATGCAACCTCTAAATGCAGAGGAAGCTTTACTGAAGAAATTTGAGTTATGGACTTTTAGACATCCTGGCTCAGGTGTCAGCTATGTTAGAAGAATCTGGGTTCTCTCCCTGTAAGGTCCAGGAGGAACAGAGTTATGTCAAGACTCTAAATACCCCAGCGTTTAGGTTATACCTTTACACCTGAGATTGAAAGTTTGAATAGAAATTATACTGTTCTCTATGTACTTGTGAATGCATGCTATATTGTGAACCAATCTTCCTAGGTCACAACTATGAACGACAAGTTCTTCAGAAGTCATATAGAAGACTGCCTGTCCTTTGGCCGACCTTTGTTAATTGAAGATGTTGGAGAGGAACTTGATCCTGCTCTAGATAACATCTTGGAAAAAAATTTCATAAAATCTGGTTCAGCACACAAAGTAAGATGAATTGTGAACATAAATTTAAGAAACAATAGGACAAATACTGGGTATCTGGTAGTCTGGATACTGCCAAGATTCACACCTTTTCAACACTTAGAAAGATGAGTAATGAACTCATGGGATTGGATTTTTTTTTTACTCCTTAAACAGCAAGTTTAAAAAGTGTAAATAAAAACCTAAAAAAAGAGTTAATCTATTTTTCACTAGATAAAATAACTGTTTTTCTGAATTCAGCTTTTGAAAATTGAGTAACATGTTTTATTTTCAGGTAAAAGTAGGTGACAAGGAGGTAGATCTGATGAAGGGGTTTACGCTTTATATGACAACAAAATTGGCTAATCCTGCCTATACTCCAGAAATTAGTGCAAGAACAACTGTGATTGACTTTACTGTTACTATGAAAGGGCTGGAAGATCAGCTCCTTGGCCGTGTCATCCTCACAGAAAAACAGGTATCTAGTAGCTTACAATATTTGTATAGAGAAGGCTTGTTCAATATGTGCACCATGAGTGGATATATTCAAGGTCTTGGTTGAAATCAAATGCAAGAACAAAAATGTGAATGAAAGTTTAGGGGTTTGCGCATTTGCTGAAAGACAATGTGGAGCTGGTTTTTAATTGAATGGAGGGACCTAAACATGTATTTTAAGATCTGGCCTTGGAAAGAGAAGAAAGAAAATTACTCATTAAAAATACATCACAGGCATATACATGACATACATAAAGCATCTTTATTCTTTCATATATAGCAAAGGCTCCTTGTTCAGTCAGAAACCTCTTTTATTTCTGAATTCCTTTTCAAACTTAATTTGAATTACATGAAAAAATTCTTATGAACTCGAACTACTTTTGCCAGCTAGGCTCTAGTGTGCAAGGAGATACGAGATTTTTAAGGAACCCTGAACACTGGCTTGACTCTGCTCTTAATAAAATTTCCACTGATTATGCGGAAGCAAATATAAGAAAGAAAATCTTCTCTCAGGTGTTTTTTGAGAGTTTTATTTCATAATATCAAATCTGAGACATCATCCACAATAATTTAATTCCTAGATCATTCCTATTTCTTTTTGTGTGATCTAATTTAACAGCCTGGTTATCCAAAACCTTAGGAGTCAATTCATCACAGGCACTGGGGACAAAGGTGGTCTTTTTACTGTGGCAGTCATTCCAATAAATACATGAATGTTATGGTCCAATTACACTAAAATGAAATATTTTCTTCCATTCTCATGAAAGTGAAAGCACAGTTGTATTTCACATCACATTGAATGATTTACTTATTTCAAAGGGAACATTTCCTGATTGTGTCTTTGTGAGAAAAGTAACAAAAATTAAGGTTTGGAATAGCAGAGCTGTTGCTTTCAGTAACTCATTCATGTAGGCTTGCTCATGTGAGAGCAGTTCCTCACCTAAGGGGAATTCATTCCTCCTCCTTTGCCTTCCCGAAGCATATTCTAACCAGTGTGCTTTAGTGGCGGTGTCACTTTCTCCAGTCAACACCTTTTCACTTTGCTCAAATGAGCATTTGATGAAATAAGGACTGGAATCTAACTGCCCTTCCTTCAGTCTGACAGTCACAACCAGAGGCTGGAAAGTTATTGTTATGCCCAAACTTCCTGTGAATTGTTCCATGAAAAATGGAAAAGCTACAACAGCAGATACTGAGGAAAAGCTATCCATTAGCAGGGCGGGACAAATGCTAGGGAAGCAAAATTTCTAACCTTCACTCCCACAGATGCATGTTTATGTAAACAAAATTGAACAGCATCAGCAGGAGTGGCTGGGACTATCCTGAGGAACTTACCTCTGACAAGAGATAGAGGTTTAAATCAAGATTTCTGCTGACCTACATATAAAACTCATCTCCCCACACACAGATATCCTTGCTCTGTGTTTTTTTTCCTGGACAAAACTGTTAGAGAATTCATACTGAATGTATGTAGCAACACCTAGACTGCATTTTGGGTCAAAGATATAATCACTGAAAAATATTCATCCAGTCCTGTCTATCAGCTGAAGAGAGCTGCAAGGGTAGCTGATTAGTATCAATACTACTTGCTGCACAGGGACATGGTTGCAGGTGATCAACATTTATTAAGCTTCTTCCCTTTAGCAGGTATGAAGAAATCATGGCTGTTCTGTCTCTTCTGTCTCAATAAGAGATTAATGTCCTGGTGTAAATAGCCAGAGCCAATGGAGCTCTGATAAATTTAGTTCAAAGAAAAGACAGAGCATGAACAGACAATTTGAAGAACAGGTTTTCTACTACAAACAAGACAAGTTTATGATCACTGAACTTAAGTAATAGGTTAAAGGAACCAAGACATTCTTAAAGATTTCTATAGCGATCAATGAAATATATATGATCAAAGAAGCATTTATTCTTCTCAACTTTAAAGGTTGCTCCTGTAGCTATATGAAAAAAAAAAAAAATTATCAGCATCTTTTTGTACTTTGATAATGCAGTTGCTGCCACCATTTTTGTTCAGGACAGCTATTTTTTATGTTACAAATGCAGTTGTGAAATCCTCCTGCAAACAAAAGCCTGGCATCTGGTATATTTGCTGATTTTCTAAAAGATACTCTTTACAGGCTTACAAACAGAACGAGTGAAGTGCCTGTTCTTAAATTAAGCATGTCTTTAAGTGGAATTTAAGAATGTACTTAAATACATGTTTGAGTGTTCTGTAGAACTGCTCCTTTTGTGTAATTCTAATCTTTTTTACATTAATGGTAAAGAAAGAGGAGAAAATGCAGAAAATTTGAAGCTAAATGACTGATGCGTAAGTCATTCTCCTCTTTTGGGATACAGTTATTTGTAGTTTCCACAGAGCTACATCCTATAGCCCTAAAACATATTATACAAACAAATTTCCAAATAAGAAGTCTGTGAGAGTAAAGAAATTTGTCACTTCTTTGAATTGCAGGAGAGCCTCTTCTATACTGCGTAACTCTGTACATCTCCTTTTTCTCTAGCCTGGCATGTTGACAAGAATGAAAATAAACTGAAGCCATAGGTGTAGGTAGACTGGTATTATTAACTACTCTTTTCTTACAGCAAGGTTGACTTGATTGATTAAATAAAGGTAGCCAGCAAGGGTACCCCTGAGCTGTGTTGGACTGTGCAGTATAGATGCCTCATTTCACTTGACAGTGTGTTGACATGTCTGTCATTGTTCCCTTGACATTGTCTGTCTCGTAGAAATAGCATAAAAATTCTGTATGACATAGATAATAATTGTAACATTTCCTATTTTATAAGCAGTAGAGGAGTGTATCTTTCAAAGTCACAGAAGCACAGAAACTAGAAATGGAAAAGGTCATGCAGTCAACTTCCCTAACAATGTAAAATCCATCTATTCAATGCATCTTTCAGTCCTTTGTCTGATTTAATTTTAAGTACTTAATGTAATGTGGCTTTTATCACTTCCCATCGGAAACTAGCTGTAGTGCTTTGTGCATCTTACTGGAGCAAGCTTTTCCTGATAATTCTGATGTGTTTTCACTCCTCAGTATGCTGCATTAATCAAATAAATGCAGTACACATATAAATTACTTTAGTATATAATGTTTTTGAATTTTATAGGAAAAGCAACAAAGTGTCCAATCTATCATGCATGAAATCACGTTTTCCGTGTCATTATAAGGAGTCTTTCTTTGAATTAATCTTAAATATTCTACGGAAAATTTCTGAATACAGGAACTGGAAGCAGAAAGAGTAAAACTGATGGAAGAAGTGACATCTAACAAAAGGAAAATGCAGGAGCTTGAGGATAATCTACTCTTCCGTCTAACCAGTACAGAGGGCTCTTTGGTTGAAGATGAGTCACTTATAGAAGTCCTAAGAATCACTAAAACAACAGCAGAAGAGGTGAATTTTGAATGCATTGCAGATACATTTTGTAATTTTAATTCAAATATTATTTGTAAACAGATTTTTATTTTCTGGTTTTGTTTTTTTCCATTCAGAGCCACTATGTAACATCTGACTTCTTAACAAATAAGTAGTAGAAACCCTATCATTTTTTCTTCATAAAGTATTACAAAATTAAACTATTACCTGGATAGTGCTTAATAGTACCAGGCATACTTTGCAGGTGTAAGTTTGAATGAGATCCCATTGTGCTTGGTGTTTGAACACATGGACAGAGGGAAGCAAAGCTTTACTAAAAATACCATTGTGATCTTAATGAAGACCTTTTCTTTTTGCTTGTGCAGTATAAATCACAAGTGACATGACTTAATCTTCGTGGTCTTTTCCATTAATTTTAAGGTCAGTGAAAAATTAAACATAGCAGCGGAGACAGAGGTGAAAATCAATACTGCACGTGAAGAGTATCGGCCTGTTGCTGGTCGTGGTAGTATCCTTTATTTCCTAATTGTGGAAATGAGCTTGGTTAATGTCATGTACCAAACATCCTTACGGCAGTTCCTTGGCATTTTTGACCTATCAGTGGAAAGATCTCAGAGATCTCAGATCACAGCAAAAAGGGTAGTATATGTAATCGAGCATCTCACCTATGAAGTCTTCAAGTACGCAGTTCGAGGGCTGTATGAAAATCACAGATTCCTGTTTACATTGCTTCTGGCACTGAAGATTGACTTACAGGCCAAGAAAATTTCACATACTGAGTTTGAAACACTGATCAAAGGTAATCTCTCTAAAAATGTTCCTGTTTACATATGTCCGTGAACTGCCAAATTCAGATTTTGCAGTTCTTGCACTGACAGTATGTTGCATCCAGGGAATCTAATGTTTTTTAACTGGTGAATGAAAGCATATACAGCCGAAGAAGGAATTAAGAGTCAAATTTTCCCAAACAAGAGCAATATAGATTATTTATTATCAAAATAATGCTTAGATGAGGATATTTAACTCTTTTACATCTCAAAACAGGAAAATGACCATTACTTTGTGAGAGACTCTATAGTTTTCTCCCATGTGCTTCTTTTTTGAGTTACCATATACCTATCTCTGTGAGCTTGGAGACAGTCAGCAAAATCTCTTTTGATGGCTGGTGAGCAGGCATGAGAATGCAAGAGGACTCTACCACATTTAAGTGTCAGTATAAAAAAGGGGAAATCTATTACACATTGTAAAACATTGTTATATTGCATTGCATTATGCTAGCGCTATGCCTGTCACTACTCAGACACAGTGACAAAGAAAAAATTTAGTAAACTTTATAAAATTTTGGGGAGGGTGGACCCCAGTGTCTCCAAGATACAATAAGTACAAACAGGTACCGAGATAAGATCAGTACAGTCAGGTACTTATCATCCAAATATTTTAGTTTGCTTTGCAAACACCAATTTAATGTTCAGCTGTGACTCAGCTGTGTTGGAGGTGCAAATGGGCATGACGCCGGAGTGATGGTTGAGCTAAGAGGCTGTTGAGGTTGTACAGTCCTGGAAATGAGTACGCCATGTGCTTTCTTATTCTGTACGTAGGTGAAGGGAGATTGGACTAACCATAGGTCCTTTCTACATCTGGTCTGAAGACTTGGGTTTGAGTATTGATTTAGGTAGGCAAGTTTTATTCCAACTCCACAGATGGAAAAAAAGCAGCACAAAAATTACTGAGATATCAGCTTTGTGAGTCACTGAGACCACTTTACTAATAGGTCTTTGTTAAATGAGTTTTCTGTGCAAATTCTAGGTCTCCATGTCCTGGTTCACAAAGATTTTTAGTCCCTAAGTTATAGAAATAAGTATTTTTTAGTATTTGTCATTTTTCTGTTTATCAATGATTGTTTTTCTCTATAATGTTTCTCACTTTGCAGGAGGTGCCAGTTTGGATCTGAATTCTGTGGAACCAAAACCAAAAAAGTGGATCCTTGACATGACTTGGCTCAATCTTGTGCAGTTGTCTAGCTTGTACCCTTTTAATCAACTTCTGGTGCAAGTTGCTAGGAATGAGAAGTCTTGGAAAGCTTGGTTTGATGAAGAAGCACCTGAAAAAGCTGTTATTCCTGATGGGTATGACAGCTTACTGGATCAATTCCGTAAACTGCTCCTTGTCCGTAGCTGGTGCCCCGATCATACCGTTGCCCAAGTAAGAGATGCTTTCGTACAATGGTTGTGCCACGTGGCATCTCCCGTAGAACTGCTAGTTCCGAACTTATGTTCTCTGAATTTGTTTTTATCGTAATATTTGTTGCAGAGTGAGCTATTTAGAAAATCAAATATTGAAATCCTCATCCTAAATATATGAGAAATCATTTTTAATTTATTTAATTGCAATAAATTAGGAAGGACATTGCAAAACATGAAATAAATTGTGTCGGAGCAATAAGAATACCATTCATTTTGTGTGGTGCTTCTAAAGTGGAGTCATGAAACTTGTAAAGCAGTTGCATTCTTGCAGTGAATCAGAAGACACATCCCTGTTTTTTCACAGAAGTGGAAAGAGAACAGTTCACTTTGATGACAGGTGCACTAAAATAGCAGATGAACTGTTCACTTACCCTCCATGCTAAGGAAGTAATAATTAAGACTGTCTCGTGGCAGATATTGCAAAAGAAACTGCAATGGATTAGCACTTTCTCCACAGTCTGTGATATTTGGATTTTTCTTCTTTATGTAGGCCTAAAAGAGATGTAAAAGCCTATGAGTATCCTCTTTTCACTTTTTTTGTCTTTAGCTACGCTTCAAGTAGTACTTTCGATTTCTTGTGTATCTCCACTTCATATGTTACATGTTGTGATAGCATCTATATTGTATTTAGGGAACACCATTTTTTCATGGACCATTTTTTCAACAAGACCCCCCCCTCCATCCTTTTTCCTTTTCTTGTCTTCAGTGGGTCAATAAGAGAAAAATGTGGGAGCTCTATCTACCACAATTTAAACCATCCAAAAAAATAAAGCTACTACTGCTCATTTATCAACACTCTTATTGTCTTGCACAACCATCTTTGAGAAAGAATGTCTTTGAACAGTGATTTCAAAAACTGTAATTTTTTACATTTTTGAGGAAAGAAAGGATCTTTTCTGTTATTATCATCTTTATCTCTTCTTTCCCTACTGTGTTTCCTAAGTGTTACAAAATTTTACCTCTCTTCACTAGGGCAAAAGTTACATTCAGTAGTAGATGATTGAGTTATCTTTTTCTGGAACGGACATTTTATTCAGTCCACCTTGTTCCTGGGTGTTTCTCTCCGTAATACATGCCTCAGAAGCTGTGCTAGTAGTTTACACAGTTGGAAAATGATGTCAATCAAAAAAGCATGTCATACTCCAGGATAGCTTTAGGAGTCCTTTTAGAAAATGTCTGTGAAAAGAGGACAATAGAGGCATAGGGAAGGTTTGACCTTTAAGAATAAAGTCTGAGCTGTGTTTATATTTTGTAGAAATAGATGTTCAGTGTAAGAGACTTGAATTCGATAACCACTGGACAGGAGAATTTGTTTGAAGTTCCAACAAACATATGGAAGATTGTAACTGGGTCAGATGAAAGATCTGTGTAATCTGCTGTGCTGTAGAGACAGTGTCAACAATATATGCTTAGAGGAGCTAAGAATGGGGCTGGTATAGAGCAACTCTTTTGTCTGGCTATCCACCAGGCTTTAGCAGTCAGTAATTCAGGGACTGTATCTAGGCTGTCCTTGAAGATGACAGTGGATCTATTCTGCATGGATTTCTTTAGTTCTTTTTAAAAAAACATTTAGCATCCTCTAGCAACAGTGTTCACAAGATGGCTGTTGTGTGAGCAGAATTCTTTCTTTTCTTTGTTTGAAGTTTGCTATGTGAGAATTTCAATGGTTGCCTCCTGTGGGCTGTAACTTTTGTTACACCAAAGTTGAAAATGAAAGTTTAGAAAGTCATTGCCTTCCAGCGTAGGTACTGGTAAATTCCACATCAACGTTTAATGCTAAATAAATAAAAGAAAACTAAAAGGTATGTATTTCTGGTAACTTGTGTTTTTTTAGGCTCGACACTACATTGCAGAATCTCTTGGAGGGAAATATGCGGAAGGATTTATTCTTGAAATGGAAGCAATGTGGGCAGAAAGCGACTGTCGAACACCTTTGACATGCTTTTTATCAATGGGGTCTGACCCCACTGAAAATATAGAACGTCTTGCAAAATCAAAGGTATTCTTATAAACTGAGTTTGCTAGAACTAATAAAGACATTTGAAACTATTCTTTGAACTAGAAATGGTATTTCCACGTTTTATATGAATTTGAATAATTATATTTGTATTAATACCAGTGTTCTCTGGAAGTTAATTTTGGACCAGTAGCCAAAATGCATTTACTGAGGAAATGGAAATGTTATGTTCTTGGTTTTTCTAATTGATTGATTCCAGTGAGCCTTCGCTGTCTTTATCCAGCAGACTATGATACTCCATTACTCAGTGAAAGTACTTAGCTATAAGAACAAAGCAGTACCTGTGGTTTACATTGTCACATTTAACTGTAGGAGCTGACAGTAACAATGATTGCAGGAAGATACAGAAAAAAATAATAAATATCATGACAAGAGAAATTAATTTGGAGACCCTACCATTCAATCAGTTTACTTGATGGAGGTGTTCAACATTTCTTACAGCACAGCATCACTTTAAGACATTCTGTGCTTTGTGTTTTATGGTTCACAATGTAGATGTAAGTAGAATTTTCCCAAGAAGAGGTTATTCTTAGTAGATCTCCATAAATTTTCCTCCCTGTTAGAATGCATCTTCATTCAGAGGTGCAGGAATTTTGTATGTATTAAGTAAGACTTACTTGTAAAAGTGGAGACCACCCACAAATCTCTTCAGAAAGTTTAGATGGTCGTTCTCTTTGAAAATCAGGACTCTCTTACTTTTCTGACTGGGCTGAAGAGTGCTTAAATTATGATCTAACTCTGACTTGAGTGCTTAAATGTAGGAATCTTCAATCTGAAGTTGTTGATGTGATCTTTGTCCCCACGAACTGTGCAGCCAGATAGCCAGCCAATATACAGACATAGGGAGGGAGAAGGGTGGCAGTTGGGAGAGCAGGATTTTTAGGTTTATTGGAAGCAATACATTGGAAGAACAATTTTATTTCTATTCACAAAATATTCTATTGCCTTTTCTAAGATATGAGAGACATTTTGACTTTGTAGAAGATTTGAAATTAACTGCAAGAATATTTATAGACTGGAAATGGGCAATTTTTTTTTAATCCCTTTTCAAGTCCAAGTAAACACATTGGGTAGTTGTGACTGGATTCCTGTTTTCATGGCCTATGTTATGAATACAAATGGAGTGTCAGCTTAGTGGTGACATTTTCATTCACCTATTCAGCTCTTCAACATATGTATCCTGTGAAATTGTCCCCTAGATAGGTTCTTACCCTGTCTCCAGTAGGAGTTAGTTTCTGTAATCAATAAAAAGTGACTCCTTTGAAAGAAATTCAGAGCACATGATTGAAACCTAGCTCTGAATTGCATTGAGGAGTTGAGTATTTCTATCCCATTGGCCATGTAAGGGAATGAGAGACACTAACCTCCTAATAGAGTCACTTAAAGTCCCTCTTGCAAGGAGTGGAACAAAATGCTCTTCCATTCTGTCAAATCTTAAGCAAGACCTTAGCCTGTCTGGGGAAGTGCTGGTAGGTGGAAGGTGCTCTGTAATTGTGCCTGTTAAAAAACAGTAGCTTTTGCTGTCATTCTGAAAGTATATTGCAGTGGGCAGTTTTAATATGTTTTCATGCTTTAAGGAAAAATGTATAGAATAACAGAAAGTGAGGTTGCAAAAGAGCTAAAGGGGTTACCTTGTTTATTCAAATATGGTTTATGAATAAGGCAACATCAGCTAGGCTGTCATAACCTGAAGTTCAACTGTAACATCAACTGCAAATGTAAAGTTAACTGTGATGTTTAACTGGAAAGTTCTTGTCTGAGCTCTTGAAGTAAAGATCTTACCAAACAACATATAGAAACCATCCAGATTCTGCAAATCAAACTACGAACACAAATCTTTTTTAAAGTAAAAATGTGTATTAACATTGTGGGACTGGAGGAGTACTTCAGTGGTTCTCTAGCTTTTGAAAAATGTATCTAGAAATCATTTACAGTTTTCAGAAACATTTTAAAGAGGGCTTTGTGTTTTTTTGCTAGTTCATCAATAAATTGTACTTTGTTCCTGTCTTTCTCTGGGCTTTCTCTGTTTTTTTCTTTTTTTTTTCCAGAATAAACCTTTGAATTAACATAGATTAGCTACACTTAGTATGTATGTGATTCTATCTGATCTTAGTATATATGTGATTCTATACCTCCAAAGTATCCTATTTATTGTTCTTTTTTTTTTCTTCTTAATGATAGAAAACTTCCAAAAGACACACTGGGCCTATTTTTCAGTGATTTCCCTTTTACAAGCATAATTTGTAGTCTTAAAATGTATTGTCAGTACTGGTGGTAGTTCTAAGTATGATATTAACAATATAAATCAATTAGCTGCAGTTGGAAAAGTTCCGATTTCTACCTGGAATTTATTTTAACTCTAAAATTTAGTTGTTCAGATGGCCTTCTCCCAAAGAAATGGAAACAGTATCTATGACTACTGAGCTTGTTTATAAACCAAGCAAGCTCTGTCTTAAAACTAGTTGGATTTCTGCCCCCTTTACTTTCATTTGAAGGTGGAGTGAAAATTTAACTTTCTGACTTAAAATGAAGTTCATTATGCCTAGCACTTTGACTTCATTACACCCAGATATGTTTGCTATTGCAGAGATAGTTTCTTCTTTCAGGGAATGACGCACAGACAGAACTGTCAGGGCCACTGTAGTGACTAAAATGATGGTATTTTCATCTGGATAGCGATGACACAGATATATTGGCATGACTCACTGTTGAGAGAAACATTCTGTATGCAGACATGTTGATAGAGTTCTTTCAGAAGGAGTAAAACGAGGACAATCCATAGTGAAAAAAAATTTTTTCTTGTCTTGATGTTTCTATGACCTTTAATGATTGTACATTTGAGAGGTAACATTGCTGAGAAGAGCAAATTATGATCAGATGCTTTGTTAGAGAATAATGTACCAGCTGAATATTTATGCACTCTGTAAGAGTAGCCATGGTCTTTGACTTACAAGAGTTCTAGCTGTACTCAGGCACATCTTAGAAAAAGTAAAGTTTTTTACTCCACCAGCACATAGCCAACTTAACAGGCTATTTAGCTTTGCTTCTTTTAGCTGCAATTTCAGGTTTTACTGACCTGAGAGCAGGATTTAACTGCTTTCTGGTCTTCAGCATTCTCTTCTCCCTAAATCTTTTGCCAGGATTTGGAGGATCATATACAGCAACTGTATTTATACTGTTTATACTGTTCAGTAAAATCAGGTCAGGGCCTGTTCTCTGACCCTAAGGCCAAATGACCCAGTGCAGCTTGTGTCCATGTGCTTAACCTTTTTCTTCTGAAAAAGTAGGGCAGCCTCATCCACGCTGTTTAGGACTGGATGACTTCCTTCGTTTATGTTTCACAGTGAGAGGGTCCCAGTAGCAGGAAAAGTTAAGATTAACCTTTGTAGCTCTCAGCCAGCTGAAGATAGGTCCAGATTGATAAATCTTTCTGCAACTCATCACTCACGGCATGAGGGATACTCAACTGTAGGTCTTGAACATGAAACTGTCCATGAAACAGTCTTTTCATCAATTCCCTTTCTTTCAACATGTATACAGAAAAATATGGTGAACTGAGTTTGATAGTTCTGGTTTTCCCTGATAGGAATCAGACAGCCAACCTAATCCAGGAGACTACTTACATAATAAGAACAAGGGTAGTAAGAGCAATAAGCAAAGAGGTGGTCTGCCTGCAGGTTACTTACAGACTTTTATGGTCATGATCACAACCTAGTCAGCTTGTCTTTTTCAGATCCCCTTGTGAGAGCTTCTGTCTTTCTGAACAAAAGACTTTCCTCTCCCATGGCTTCTGGAGGAAAGACTCTGTACATTTCCAGAATTCTTGTGTTTGCATTTATGAGCTTCGTGTCTTCTGAATCCAGAAAATGTAACAGCTAGAAAACCATCTAGAGCTAGCAGATCACCAAACTAGAATCCTCGGAATCAGTGGCTTCACAGCTGCCAATTAACAATGCAGGATGTTTGCAAAGGAATGACTTAACATGAACCAATCTTTCCTGACCTGCCTGCTTCCTTGCCAGTTCTGTTAGACAAAATAAATATGTTCAGACAGTAAAAAGACACCAAAATTGTTGGCTTTACTCTGTGCATTAATTGTTATGTAGTGTCTTAATATGTGTCCATCTCAAGATAGTCCACATCATAGGAAAAAGAATAGTCAGGCAGGTATGTTGCTGTGTGTATGTCCTGCTTTATTTGGAAAAGTCAGGAAAAAGAAGGGAAAATGTTTCAGTTGTCTTATCCTATTGACTTTGTCAGACCTGGAAAAAAACATTATGTCCAGAGGGTGTAGTTTTTTTTCAGCAGACGGAATATAAGAGCAACTTGAAGGAGTTTGCTTTTTTGTTTACTCTATTTTACTATAATCAGTTTCCATCGATATTAACGTTTTTCTTTGTGGCACAGTGTCATTAGACATGGACCTACAGAAGCAATACATTGTGTATAGAATCATTCTAAAGAACTATGTATAAAAGAAAGTTCTTTTTTTCCTTCCAGAATATTCCCTGTTGTGCTATTTCAATGGGTCAGGGCCAGGAAGTCCATGCAAGGCGCCTGTTAAATCAGTGCATGCAAGATGGAGGATGGCTCCTTCTACAGAACTGCCACCTTGGCTTGGGCTTTCTTAGTGAATTAATGGACACCATCGCAACAACGGAATCTGTGAGCGAAGATTTCAGGACCTGGATCACTACAGAGGCTCACCCAGACTTTCCTATTAATCTTTTACAGTCGTCTATCAAATTTACTAATGAACCCCCTCAAGGTAAGAAACCATATTTTTTTGAGTTTTGGGGCTTACTTCCTCCCCCACACTCTGTATCATTATACTTTGTGTAGTGTTATAGTTTTTATTCTGTGTGGAACCTGTGGAGAACACCAGTTCAGTGATGCTTTCTTAAGCTTAGTGCATTCCATCACTCTTTTCTTTCTGTCCTGTGGACCCCACACAAGGATGTAGAGGGAGACCAATGCAAGGAAAAGGAAGGACTCTTCTTAAAATCCAACTTCAACCTCCCAAGCTGCAGTATATATCTGTGGTTATTGCTTCGTGTTATGTCATCTGGTACTGCTGACAGGAGACTGACCCCAGCATCTTTGTAATTGTCCCTCAAGTGTTTGTGAGCTGCTACTGAATCACCCCTTAGCCTCTGTCCCAGGCAAGACAGTTAATAACAACCCATAGTGGATCTGAATACTGGGATTTGCTTCAGAATCAATGAGATTAGGGATTTTATGCTACTTGCATTTTATGCTACTCTCTCATGCTCCAAGCCTCCTGTATTTCTTTCATTTCCTCTTGACTTCCCTTCCCATTGGAGAGATTGCTGCTGGTCCAGGAAGATCGGGCAGAAACTCATGTTGGTTTCATGCTGTGCAGCTACTTGCAGCTACCACTCTTGGACATTACTGGCCTAGGTCCCTGGGCATCCCCTAGCATTACCTCCGTGCATCTCCCCTAGCTCCAGGATCTTTCTCCACTTCCAGGATGTTTCCTCAGGCTAACATGTTCATCTCATGCTTTCTGGGCTTCTAAGCCCCCAGTTTTCCTAACCTAAGTAGTCTATGTGCAGAAGCACAATGTGTGATCAGTGTCCTAATTGCAGTTCTGACTTATGTTTCTGTGTTAATTCAAGGATTCAGGATGTTTCACTTTCTGCAGCCTGTACCACTCGCAGCTAGCAAGTAGCAGGTTTGTCCTTGAAAGTTCAAAATTTCAGTTTTGGACAGCCACCATCCCCTGTACATGCACACAACTATCTGCCGCCTTTTAGTGTTCACAATTTAAACTGGTTTTGCACCCCACAGCCTCTTTTTCAACAGACTAAACCAACTCAGCCTTCTTGTCCTGTCTTTGTAGGTCATGCACTCTCGGTATCTGACCACCTTTATTGCCCCATCCAGTTTCTCCACACCTCCTTTGTGTGCCATATGTGGAAAGATATCTGAGGGGAAGCCTAATCAGTGCTAAGTGGAAAGTGATAAGAATTTTCATCTATCTGTTGGCTGTGCTTCTTCTAAGATACTTTATTTGCAAGAAGAGTGCAATTTTGGCTTATAGTCAACCTGGAATCTGTGATAATCCTGAAGTGCTTACTGGTAGACCTCAGCTAGCAGATCTCAGCTTGTATAAATGCATGGGATTATTGTGCTGCAGGTGCAGAACTTTGCACTTCTCCTTGTTGAGCTTCATGCAGATTTTGTTGGCTAAGTCTTATCTCTCTCTAGATCCCTCTGGACTAATGCTCTGCTATTTAGTCTGTTAGCCACATTCTCTGATTTAGTATTGTCTGCAAATTTGTTGAGGTTGCTTTTTATTTCCTTATCCAAGCCACAGATGAAGATATTGAACAATATTTGTCCCTGATATACTTTGTTTTTTTTCCTGGCTGCTAGGATATCTTAAGCCGTTGATTACTTATTTGAGCCTAGTAACCGACCTGCCAGCCTTCTACAATAAGGTGATTGGTTTAGTGGATGAGGAGAGAACATAGGATGTTGTTCATCCTGACTTTAAGAAGGCTTTTGACTCAGCCCCACAGCACATCCTTATAGACATATGATGAAGTAGGCATTACAGAACTGGATAGTGATGTGGATTGAAAATGGTGTGAACTCACAGGCTCAAAGAGTTGTGATCAGCTGCACAAATCCGGCTGGAGAGCAGCCATCAGTGATGTAATCCTGGGGTCAATACTGGGGCCGGCAGTGGTTAAAATTTTCACTAATGACCTGGATGATGGGACACCCTCAGCAAGTTTATAGTTGATACAAAGTGGGAGGAAGGGGCTAATGCACTAGAAGGTCGTGTCGTTGTTAGTGGGAGTTTCACAGGCTGGAGAAACGGTCTGACAGGAATTGCTGAACCTGAACACAGGGAAATGCCAAGTACTCCCCTGGGAAGAAAGAACCTCATGCATCCATACATGATTAACAGCTGTTAACAGATGTTAATAGCTGTTTAACATCTTTGTCAGCAACATGGACGGTGGGATTGAGGGTACCTGTAGCAAGTTTGCTGATGACACCAAGTTGTGTGGTGAGGTCAACATGCTGGAGGGAAGGCACCTTGACAGGCTTGAGAGGTGGGCCTGTTTGAACCTTATGAAGTTCAACAAGGCCAAGCACAGGGTCCTGCACATGTGTCAGAGCAATCCCAAGCACAAGTACAGGCTGGGTGGAGAACGGATTGAGAGCAGCCCTGAGCAGAAGGACTTGGGAGTGTTGGCTGATGCGAAGCTCAACATGAACCGGCAATGTGCACTGGCAGCCCAGAAAGCCAACCGTGTCCTGGGATGTATCAAAGGAAGTGTGGCCAGCAGGTCAAGGGAGGTGATTCTGCCCCTCTGCTCTACTCTTGTGAGACCCCACCTGGTATACTGCATTCAGCTCTGGAGTCCCCAACACAAGAAGGACATGGAGCTGCTGGAGGGAGTCAGGAGGGCCACAAAGATGATCCAAGGGCTGGAGCACCTCTGCTATGAAGACAGGCTGAGAGAGTTAGGGCTGTTCAGCCTGGAGAAGAGAAGGCTCCGGGGTGATCTTCTTGCAGCCTTCCAGTACTTAAAGAGGTCCGACAAGAAGGTTGGAGAGGGATTTTTGTTAAGGGCATGTTTTGATAGTATAAAGGGTAATGGCTTTAAACTGAAAGAGGGCAGATTTTGATTAGATCTAAGGAAGAAATTCTTGACTCTGAGGGTGGTAAGGCTGCCCAGAGAAGTTGTGGATGCTCCATCCCTGTAAGTGTTCAAGGCCATGTTGGATGAGGCTTTGAGCAACCTGATCTAGCGGAAGGTGTCCCTGGCCATGGCAGGGGGGTTGGAACTAGATGATCTTTGAGGTCCCTTCTAACTCAAACCATTCTATGATTCTGTCATGGGATTGACCAGCTGTAAAGCAGCTTTACAATAAAAGGACCTGGGGTTCCTGATGGAAATCAAGTGGAACATGAGCCAGCAATATGCCCTTGGAGCAAAGATGGCCTGCAACACCCTCAGATGGATTAGGAAGATAATTTCCAACAGGTTGAGGTGATTCTTCTCTACTCAGCCATGTCAAGAGCACATTTGGGGTGGTGTGTCCAGGTCTGACTTCCCCAGTGCAAGACAGACATGGACAGAACAAGTCCAGTGAGAGGCCACAAAGATGCTGAAGGGATTGGAGAACATGACATATGAGGAGAGGCCAAGAGCGCTATGATTGTGTAACCTCAAGGAGAGAAGGAGTGTCTTATCAATGCATATAAATACGTGATGAGAGTGAGTAAGGAAAACAGCAAGACTTTTCTCAGTGGTGCCAAATGACAGAAAGAGAAGTGATGGACACAAATAGAAATCCAGGAAATTCCACTTCAGCATCAGAAAAAAACTTAGCCCACTGTGAGAGTGGTCAAATACTGGAACAGCTTGTTCAGGAAGTTTGTAGACTCCATCCTCAAAACCCACGTAGACAAGGTGCTAAGCAACCAGCTCTAGTTGATCCTGCTTTGAGAAGAGGTATTGCACAAGGTGACCTCCAGAAATCCCTTCCAACATCAACTATTTGGTGTTATTCTGTGTGACATGAAAGCATCCAGGTTTTCTAAGTAATCTTTAACCTGTTGCTCTCCTGCTGTTGAATATCTCTCACCCAAACTATGCTGCTATCTGCAGATGTTCTTTATCCGCTTATAGAAGCAACTTACTACCTTGCCTTGTATCTACTCATTATGTATGATTAGGGAAGGTTGCTTTTTATTTTGGACTATGGCAGAAAGAAATCCTCAAGCCTGACACTTATTTTGTCTTTTAACTCCCTCGTCTTTAAGTAACTGTGTAATGCATTAACTTGCCCTTCATTTATATGTATGTGTTGGCACTGATTTCAATTAATGAAGTTAGTAGGAGCTGAGAATTTTTGTCCGAGGTCGTATTTAATGCCTCAGTCATTTGAACCTCTTATTTTAGTATTCATTTTCCTTTGAACATTAGTAAGATGTCTACAAAATGTCTGATCTTGTGAAAGACATCCTGTTGCAGTGTATATGCGCTGATCTCAAGGGCAGTTAGTCAGTCTGCTGTTAAAAATTTCTTACTTCCTTCTCTTCTCCTCCCCGCTTTTAATTTGGTGCTCAGAATCTTTTTATTGTACTGTGACCCCTCCTTGTCATTCAAATGATAACACCCTGTAGCTCCAAGAGGCTATTTTATAAGTCAAGTTTTCGTTTTCTGATACTGCCCTGCCACATTGGTAGCACAATGTGATAAGGCACTTTTGTTTTATTATTTTGTCATGATTTTGGAACTCTCTTATGATACCCTTACAGTATTTTGAAAAGCTCTTTGTTTGAATATTGTTCTACACGATCTTTGTGAAGTAGGAAAAAAGCAAAAGAGTTTTTATTGTGTCATGGGAAGTATGATGACTTGGACAATCTATTCACTGCACTCGAAATCTATTTTTTTAGACTTGTGTTAAGCTGATTAGGTGGAAGATATCGTAAGAGGGACTGGTGTCAGTTACTCATGCTTGGTGGTGTCTGCCAAAGGCAGATCATGCTTCAGTAACGCTGCCTGAAAGGATCTGGGAGTAGTGAGGATTGCATATTCCGTGGAAGCTGAGATTTTATCAGTATCATCTGCCTAAAGCTGTTCGTGGGATTTGAAATGTTAGTGCTCAAATAGACCTCCCCAAGTATTAGTATTTCCACTATGAATTTAGGTTCTCATCTCACCAGCTTAGTACCTGTATGACAGTTTAAGAAGCAGAATTCTGAGATCATTATAGGAATGAAATTGAAGTAAATTGTCTTTGGTAGAACTAAAATCTTATTTTATCTGTAAATATTGAAACACAAACTCTTGGATATTCAGTGCTATATTTCATATGATGTTAGGTGTCTTTTTGATTGCCTTATAGTTGCTGAATAGTTATGTTTATATTTCAGTTGTTATTGGTAACATTTAGAGTATGATTACTTAAGTGTAATTTCTTCCAGACTTCGGAACTGAATTTGGTGTGTCATCTACCTGAAACAAAATATAATTGACGTTTGCCTGCTATGACCAGCTGAACAGATAATTGATTCAAAGAGATGATTATTTTAAGCTATAAATAAAACGATACTGTAAATTGGAATAGAGAATTCTGCTTAATGGAAGTTAGAGTTATGGGTTCCATACATTTTTTTTCTCATATAATGCATTTTTATACTGTCCTAGTTTTAGCTGGAACAGAGTTTTTAACAGCTAGAAGAGCTCCGTGTTTTGGTTTTACTCAGAGGCTCGCTCTGAGAAGAATGCTGATAGCAAGCTGATGTTTGTGGTTGGAAGTGAAACTCCAAGGACTTTTCAGTGTGCCGGAGTGCAGGAACACGGCGGGATACTGGGGGAGCATAGCCGGGACAAGGGGGACACGATTCCCCTTGTGATTTGTGGTGGAACTTAAGACTGAGGGCCAAACTGGCCAATTAGTATTCCATATCATGCAGCGTCATGCCCAGTATAAAAGTGAGGGTCAGCCGGGAAGAGGGACTTTTGCGCTTTGGCTCTTTTGCGCTTGCTGCGCTGTTGCTCTGTTGTTTTTCTTTCTTTTTGTCTCTCTCTCTCTCTCTCTCTCCCCCTCTCTATTTCGGGGCCTCGCGTTCGTCCGGGATTGCAGCTTCGGGACGAGACGGGCTTCGCATACGAGGGGGTGGTGAGCACCTACACTGTATTAAATCATCTGTATTAAATTGTTCTTATCTCAACCCATGGGTTTCCCGTTTATCGTTTAATTCACTCCCTCATTCCTGGGGGTGGGGGAGGGGGAGTGACCGGCTGTGTGTGTGTGTGGGGATTTCAACCTAACCCACGACATATACTTATTTTCTAGGTGTGAAAGCTAGCTTAAAACGAACATACTCAGCTGTTACTCAGGATCACCTGGAAGTGAGCAACATGCCACAGTGGAAACCATTGCTATATGCTGTAGCATTTCTTCACACGACTGTTCAGGTTTAAAAATACTTTTTTTTTTTTTCTGTCATAAAGCCATGTTTCAGTTATGAATGCACTGTGTTATTAAATGAAAAACATGTTTAAATGGAAATCCCATGTAAGTAAATTAATACAAATAAGAAAGAAAACAACGTGCCTCTATTACTTCAACTGTCTTAGAACTTAGAACTCTGCTCATGTTGATCTTGTACCTTCAACAGAGATGGTATTTCAGACTAAAAAAGGACAGTCAACCAATGATCAATTAGTGCACTCTTCTGTTAAAGTCTTTGGGCATGGCTATATGATCTGTCTTTCAACTAACTTTTTTTTACTAATATTTTAAATCATAAAAGCACATTGAAGAAATTTATGGCTTGAGTTGGAAAAACATAGTCTTAAAACTGCTGCGTTCACAATGAGAAGGGCTAAGAGGGTAAATATAAATCCTTCCTGCACTGAAACCTGCAGGAGGAAATGAAGGTGGAAGATGATTTTGGGTCTTGCCTTTCAGGAGTTCCATTAAAGGAAGTGCTTTATGGATTAACCACAACTTTTCATCATTCTATTGATAGATTTTGCAGTATCCTTAGTTTATATTTGGTGCCTAGTTAATTTAACTCTGTGGCATCCATGTACTGATACATTGTGGTGAAATGGAAGCCTGTGGTATGCTTATCTTCGGCCCATCACTTCCTTCATGGTGGAAATTAAGGATGTTTAAATACCAGATATTGCCCTAACAGCCACATAGAGCCAGCTGTGTCTGTAAATGATTCACTAAGAAGTAGCTTTTGCTACTTGCATCTACACCATGCAGAGACATCAATGGTACGAATATACCTAGTCCACAGGAGGACCACAGGCAATGATCCTGGCTGATGAGTTTTGACATCCCTTCCTAAAAACAGTAGCTTCATTTTTGAAATTAAAAAACTATAGTTCTAGGCTCATAGATTCACTGCACTTTAAAAAGAGCATTTTTTTTTCTTTGTGAAAATGTTAATATTCCTATTCTTTGTTCATATCTCTCTACTGATCATGATAAATGAAGAAATATTTAACTACTAGATAATTAATCAAGCAGTTGGCCTTGTGTGTATTAAGAGAAGAATTATTTTTTTAAAGTTGATGAGATACAACCCCACCTGTACTACTGTGTTCTTAGCATATTTCATGAATTCTTCTGCACTTATGTTTTTTTCACAATTATTATCAATCAGCCTTTTACCTTAAACTCCATCTATTTTACAGGAAAGACGAAAGTTTGGTCCATTGGGCTGGAATATTCCTTACGAATTTAATCAGGCAGACTTCACAGCCAGCGTGCAATTTATTCAGAATCATTTGGATGATATGGACATTAAACGTGGAGTGAACTGGAGCTGTGTTCGCTATATGCTTGGAGAAGTACAGTATGGTGGCCGTGTAACTGATGACCTTGACAAAGCACTGCTGAATACATATGCAAGAGTGTGGTTTGGAGAGCATATGTTTAGTGAAAACTTTTGTTTCTACAAAGATTATGTTATTCCAAAAGGGAAAACAGTTGAAGACTATCTCCAGTACATAGAGCAATTGCCAGTGATTGATACACCTGAGGTAAAACATTTAAAAGTATTAAAGGGAGCTTTTGTCAGATAAATAATTTAATCAGGTATATTTTCCAGAGCCATGAGTATATACATCAAGACTAGCAGGCAGACCATTATAGTGGGTAGCTAGTGTAGATCTGATCAGGAAGAGGTAGATGAGACCTTCTTCAAACAGTTGGAAGAAGTCTCACATTCACAGGCCCTGGTCCTCATGGAGGACTTTAACAACCCCAAGTGTCTGCTGGAAGGGTGATATAGCAGGGTTCAAGCAGTCTAGGAGGGTTGTTGAGTGCATTAATGACAACTTCCTGGCACAAGTAATTGAGGAACCAACAAAAAAAAAATGCCCTTGGCTGGATCTAATACTTACGAGTGAGGAAGAACTGGTCAAGAATGTGAAATCCGAAGGCAGCTTTGACTGCAGCGACCGATGGTGGAGTTCAGGATCCTAAGAGAAAGGAGCAGGGCAAAAAGCAGGACCACCGCCCTGGTTTTCAGGAGAGCAGGCTTCAACCTCTTCAGAGGTTTCTTCTAGGCTTGGAAGAATCCCACGGGATATGTCCCTGGAGAGAAGAGAGGTCTAGGTGAACTGATTAATATTCAGGGGTCACCTCCTCCAAGCTCAAGAAAGATCCATCCTAAAACGTAGGAAATCAAAGGCAGCAGGAGGCCTGAATGGATGAACAGGAAGCTCCTAACTGAATTTAGACATAAAAAGGTAGTGTACAAGAAGTGGAAGCAGGGGTGGGTGACTCAGCAAAAGTATAGAGCTACTGTCCAGTCTTGCAGGGATGGGGCTAGGAGAGCAAAGGCCAAAGTGGAGTTGAATCTGTCAAGGAAGGTGAAGAGCAACAATAAAGGGTTTTACAAGTACATACACAGCAAAAAGATGACTAGGGAAAATGTGGGTCCATTGCTGAATGGAGCAGGAGAACTTATGAGAAATTATATGGAAAATACTGGAGCCAATGCTGTTTAACATCTTTGTTAATGACCTGGATGATGGGGCAGAGTTCACCTTCAACACTTCCACAGGAGATACAAAACAGGAAGGAGTGGCTGATAGACCAGATGGTTGTGCTGCTATCCAGAGAGATCTGGGCAGGCAGGAGAACTGGGCAGAGGAGAATCTCCTGAAGTTTGACAAGGCGAAATGCGAATTCCTGCATTAGTTGTCCTGGTGGACAAATAGCTGACCATGAACCAGCAATGCACCCTCATGGCAAAGAGCCAACAGTATCCTAGGCTGCATTAGGAAGCAGGAGGTGATCTTTCCTCTCTTCTGAGCACTGGTGAGACCATATCTGAAGTACTGTGTCCAGTTCTGGACTCCCCTCTACAAGAAAGATGGATTTACTGGAGTGAGTCCAGAGCAGGGCTATGAAGATGGTTAAGGGTCTGGAGCACGTGTCATATGAGGAAAGACTGAGAGAGTCAAGACTATTTACCTCCGGCAGGATCTTATCAATGTGTATAAATACCTGTTGGAAGGGTGTAAAGATGAAGCCAGAGCCTTTTTGACCGTACCCAGTGAAAAGACAAGAGGCAATGGGCGTAAATTAAACAACAGGAGATTCCATCAGACAACAAGAAAACACTTGTTTACAGGGAAGGTGGTCAAGCACTGGAAGAAGTTGCCCAGAGAGGTTCTGGAGTCTCGATCTTTGTAGATATTAAAATCCCAACTGGACACTGTGCTGGACAACCTGTTCTAGCTGACCCTGCTTGAGCAGTTGGTTTGGATGAGATGACCTTCAGAGGTTCCTTCCAAACTAAACTATTTTGTGATTTTGCGACTGTGTATGGGATTGAGCAGACGTGTGAACTGAGAAATAATGAAAATAAAAAAAAAAACATGTGGTCTCATTTTGCAAGTTATAATTGGGAGATTATTCCATTCTGACCACAGGAAGATCTGGGTGTTGCCATGAATTGATGGAGGAGGGTGCAGGGTAGCTCCTGGTTGCAACCACTTTTACACCATCCAGTGTGTGTGTATACTGCAGAGGTCACATTAATTGGAGGACTGTAGCTTTCTGCTCCCTCTAGTACAGGCACATGAGATGAAGTTAGTTAAAATTGAAACAGAAGCGCATGCTCTGGATTTCTGTCTCATTGCTATTAAGTTGATAAATGCCGTTGGAGGTAAGTTCTATTAAAATTAAATAGACAAGACTGAACAAAAAAAACTGATTTTCTGTTACTGATAATGTGCTGGCTAAGAAGGCAAGAAGATTCCAAGGTCATAAAATAAAGTTGAAAAGTTATGAATCTCTGAAGGTTGTAAAAGCAGAATGCAAGGGTATTTGCGCTGGCGATGATGCACCTTTTCCAAATGAGGGTAAATACAGTCATGATAATGCACCGGTGGGACCCATTTGAGCCCAGCTCATGAAGTGGTTCCTATCAGGGTATGAACCTTGACTCTATCAGATTTCAGGTGCTACTTTCATGGATCTGCTTTTCTAAGCACTTGGGAACCTGTCTTACAAAGCTGCAATGCATTTTTAAAGTATTTTGATGCCTGTAAAAATCTATATGTACGGTTTGATGTAAGGGAATTTTACCTTTGACTTTTATGTAAATAGGATCAAGTCCAGGAATGCAAACATCTTTTTCTCCTTCAATTTTCACAGGTTAGGAAGAAAGCTATGACTTTCTTCTGTCATTTCAAAATCTGTCAAAATTGCTCATGGAAACCTTTAACCTTTTAAGCTCCCAGTCTTCTTTTTTCCCACAAAGGATGTTATGCTAGTCAAAACAGTGTATCTTTGTTTCCTCCCCTTTCCATTTTTGGTTAAGAAAGACTGAATAAGTCTGATTGCTGTATCCTTGCTTTTTTGATGAAATTTCAACTTCTGATTGGAATAAACACTGACTTCTGAAGAGAGCTGTTGAACTCAGCAATCCCTTTGAAAATTATTTCAGAGAGGTATAGAGCTTTAGCAATTGGTTTTGAGGATTTATCAGGCTAAAAAAACCCTGAAAGATGAATCCAACGTGTTTTTTTTTTTTAATCAAAATTCCCAGAGATTTTGGATCAAAAAGAATGAGAAATTTGGTTGCTTGATTAATTTACAGGACATTCAGGACACTGGTCCACCCATTGCTTTACTACTCTGGTTTCTTTGTTCTTATTCCTTTACATCACTTGCCTAAAAACATAAGACCAGAGTTTTCTCCCATGTAACATCCCTGTCGTTGGCAATATCACACCAATTATGAAGTTAGTGCTTGGACTAGCGCTACAATTTACATTCATAATCAGAGATATTTTTCGTGTTTCTAACTTGGGCTATAGCATTGCCCCAAAATCTGCTAGAGCAAAACCAAACAATCCAACCCTTGTTGTGCAAGACCAAAAGCAGAAAAGAGTGTATCTTCAAATGTGTCTTTCGTTCCATGATAAATGAGGCGCATTGATATTTTCACTTTTTACAGCTCTAAATATTCGGGTTGAGTAAACTGCTATGTGTAAAAGATGTTAAATCCTACTTGGAACCTAATTGAATGCTAGTTATAGTCACACCTTTTCTCACACGTGGTATTAGGTCTGTACTGTGTTCTTTGTGCTGTTGTAAGGATCATATCCACGACTGGTGTAAATCAGCATAGCTTTGCTGGTTTTGACACAGATGCAGCCACTTATATCCCTTGTCTCTGAGTTTCTACATTTGCAAACACAATGGCCCGTTTTGCTGTGTCCTCAGAGTGTGTAAATATTTGTTACTAGAAGTGTCTTCTTGTAATATATCGATTCTAACGTAAAATACGAAAACATGAAAAATGAGAAATGGAAGATTGCTTGGCTTTGGTGCTCAGATTGAGGGCAAGCCTTCTTCATTGTTGGATCAGTGGTTCAAGGTTTGTAAGAGACAGTTAATAGCTATAATTAAAGGAGAGCTTGTGAAATAAGTCACAGCACAATTCCTCATGGAGAAGAGTTGCAATTGTCGACCTGACAATTATAGACTTACTGATATTTCAGTGGAAGTTTCTGAGAAAGCTATTATCATTCAGACAAAGGGCAGCTTTGCAGTAGTTCTGTGCTAACTATGTCTTAAATAAAGTAATTCAATTTCAGAAGAAGGGGAAGTAAGGAGTGGGAGACCTAAACCAAAAATAGCTAAACCATAAAATATCCTGGATATGTCACCAGTCATAAAATCTTCAGATACTTCAAATATGGGCAGTGTTTTATTCACTGTGCTGCATCCCTTATAAGCCTGAGAGGCCGAGTGTCAGAAATGGTAACTGGTGTGATTATCAGAGGCATCTACTTGAGCTGGTACAGCAGCAACAGATCTGTAGAGACAAGGAGCTAGTGGTGAGGGGTCAGCATCCACATATGACACGTTTTCAACAAGCTCTAGTCTGATCCAGTGGAAAGGAATCAGTTTGTACTCCCTGATAGCACTCCACAGCATGGTCCAAAGCCTGTGGTGTGAAGACAATCAGAAGATCAGTTAAAAAAAAACCAAAACACTATGAGTGAAAATGCTATTGTATATGAAGCCTATGTTAATGTTCTTGTGTAATTTGGCTCGGTCCTTGACCAGTTAAATGTGTGTACTTTCACTGACCTATTCATATCTGTTGTTTTATATAGCTGAGGATTTTCTTCCTTATTTATCCATTTTCATGGATTCTTTCACTGATATAATTTTAGAAGGAAAAATGCTATTTTTTTCCTATTTTTTTCCCTTTTTACTTTAAGGTATTTGGACTTCACCCTAATGCAGATATAACTTACCAGACTAACCTGGCTAACGAGACATTAAGTACAATAGTGAGCATCCAACCCAAAGACAGCAGCACTGGAGGAGGGGAAACCCGAGAAGCAGTGGTGCAACGTCTTGCTGATGAGATGCTGGAGAAGTTACCTCCAGATTATAACCCTCATGAGGTATATACTGCTTTATAGATATGGATGTTTTATGTATGTATGTGTATGTTTTATGAGTTTTATTGTGCTTCTTAAATTTAACTAGCATGTGTTTTAAAAAGCTCTTAGAATTATTCAGTGTTTTATAAGTCAGTTTTGATTTATTATCTAAAATATTCCTACATCAGAAACATATATTTCAAATGCCATAGTCCACTTACTTAGTGACCTTAACTCAGAAGAGCCACTAGAGACTTCAGAAAGTTCTTGCCCTCCCTAGTAGCTTAGAGAAGGACACCAGTGCCTCTTCCTGAAGGATCAGTGATCTTATAGTGGTTACAGCTTTCAATTTACCTGCTCGTATTATCATACCACCATTATGAATAATGGATTTTATCACTGAGCTTTTCATACCACAGATTTTTTGCAGTTTGAGCCAGAACAGATATATTTGCCAATCTTTTCTTGCTTTTTAGATTAACAGTCTCATTAAATGGAAAAATCCAGCATAAAGCACTCTTGCATCAGTTTGTAAGTAGGATCTGACCTCTTGCCGTGTATTTCATGAACAGTAACTGTTGAAAACTCCTCTTTTCCACAGTTTTATTATTTACAATTCTCTTTCACATTGGTAGTGTTGTTTTTTTTTCCTAGCTGCAGTCCAAGCTTGTAGAGTGCCCAGCATGCAGTATTGCAACTTATTATGTTATACTTTATTTACTTCTCCAGCCAACTTAGAATGTCCACTTAGGTTACAACCAATAGCCTTGGGGCCCTGGCAATATTTCCTGTCTTCTGTTCTACAAGGTCAGATTTAGTATGTCTTGTATAAATAGCCTCTTCTGTTCTGTCATAGTTCAGCTGAGAACTTCTCTTTTCATTCCCCTCTTGGCAAGCTACTTACAATCTGCACTTTTTGTGGTGAGGTTTCCTAAAAACTGTCTCCATATAGTTATTTTTCATTCATCCCTGCTTGTGCTTCTCTTTTATTTGTCACCTGCTTATTAAGTGATTCCCAGTGATGGTATGTAAATAATTTATTTGTAGAATTTGATTTGTAATGGAGTCAGTTTTCTAGTTTTCACATTATTATTTAATAGTAAATAAATATTATAAATAGCAAACAAAATTAATTATAGTAAGTATAATAATAACACTTAATTACTAATTACTAATTTAATAAATGTAATAATTTACACCTTGCATCTATGCCTATAATCTACACCTTGGATTGTAGGACTACCTCAGGCCATTTTTCTTATCCTTCCTATGAGAGTAAAGCTTTTTCATGGAACTATTTTCTTCTAGTTTTATTCAACTCCTTAGAAATTTTTTTTTTTTTCAATTTGCAATAGCAATAGAATACTGAATGCCTGGGTAATGTATATGGTTTTGCCATACTTGTAATATGTGTATTGAGCTTATTTTTTTCAATATATTTGCTAACTCTTCCAGAGGAGTATTTCTTCATTCCCTTGTTAAACTGCCGACTTTTTTCTCCTGAAGAATTTGTAATACTTAGAAGATATTTATACTGTTGGATTTTATATAAACCAGAAGGTATTCTTGCCCTCAGATTTTACCCCTGGGAAATTTGTGCAATGCCTTTTAGTCTTGTAAAATGCACACATGCCTGTTTAATCCAAATTTCACTTCTAAATAGTTTGAACATATACTATTTTTCTCTGACATTTCTTCTGTTTAGTCTTGGTCTCATTCACTCTCATTCCTTTTTGGTTTATTCGCTCAGGTTATCCACACAAAACACACATAGAGTAGGCCTCCCCTTATGAGTCACTTCCTTGAGCATCTTAGCTTTGGAGGCAACCAGTTACGGAGACAGGAGCTGTAGTTAAGGGTCAAGAGTCTGGAAGGTTTATTTTGAAAGTTCTACCCTGCACTCTTGTCTCTATTTTACTGCTCTATTTGGGTACAATACATACTTTTCCATATGACTGTATTAAAAAAAATCATCACCAATTATTTTCATTGCTGTTTCACTCTCATCACCTCTAGTATGACAAGCTATTTTTTTTTCTCAAAGTCTGCCAATCATACATGCAGGTTTTTATTTTCTTATAAGCAATTAATCTTTATAATGAAGCTCACAATTAGATAGTTCTTTGCTTCTGTATCACTTCTTTGACATCTTGTCTGAGCTTCAAGGAAACCTCTTTTGATTTAATTTGCTTGACAGCTGTTCTCTTATGATTCAAGTAAGGAGATTCATGTTTGTACAGGAAAAAACAATATTAGGTATTAATACTTTGGCATCAGCTTTCTCCCCCTCCTCCCCCTGCTTCATAAGAATGAAGGCACAGGCACAGTCAGAGGATGTCCTATTGGATCCACTTTATACCCTCCGTATTTCTTGTAAAAGTATTCTGAGCTCGGGATGTAAGTTTGTTTCGTTCTCTTATCTATAAGTGTAGATACCACCTCTTCCTGATGATTTCTAGTTTTCTCAGGCTCTGTACATCTTGATCTGTGAATTGCACTTCTCTTTGATTAATTACACCACTCTATTTACATGCTGTTTCTTCAGTCCAAATTACTGATAGACAACATGGTACTTTTGCACAGAACCATCCAAAAATTCTTTGTTTCTGTATCATGGTAGTCATTCCTCTGCTCTGAGTATCTACAGAACATCCTCTGATCCCTTTCCAACACTTTACTTTCATCGTAATGTGTTCCTCTGTACATCTCTCTGGCTGTGTCAGCTGCAATACAGTTTCAGAGTCAGCTTCTGCATTGTTATGAGATTGGACATTATTTCTTGCAGTTCCTGATTCTTTGATGTTTTCTTCTTCATTTTGCCTAATGGATTTACCCTTTCTCTCATTCTCTAGATCTTACAATTCGTTTGGGTCTTTATCAATTCTTTCTTTGTCAGACGGGAATTTCCCTTTTCTCTCGTTAGCATCTAGTTCCACCTTTTTGCTGCAGTTGTTTATGGTGCCAGGAGTGTGGCAACCTCTACACAATAAGCAAAAAATCTGTATCAAATGTGTTTCTTATCTGAACTGAAGCTCTGGGACCTCTTAGAAGAGGTGGAGAGGGCAGGAGTAGGTAAAGAAAGCTAGATTTTTAAATGAAAGTTTGCATAAGCTGACAAAAAAAAAGAATGTCTAAAATACCAAAAGAAAAAAAAGATTATGTTCACTAACATATAATCAATAATTTCATTAGTAAGAGCAGAAAAGAAGGGAGGGTTTAGATGTTCTCTGAGGGAAGAAGCAACAGAATTTAGCAGAAGCTACAATATAATAAGCAAATGAAATTAAGCTGACAAGTATAATGAGTGAAGTGGATTTTGTAATTACTTCCTGTGATGTCTGAAAAAAAGGGACTGAGATGAATTCTGTTGTTTGTCAATTTAAGTCAACATTTAGTCATTCAGGACTTTATTACCTATATTCAGGACATTATTGCCTACTAGATCAATTTAACAGTCCTGAAACAAATAAAACTAATATACTAAATTGTAAGAGGCTGAGGGAATGTGTCAAAAAGAGTTCCTATCCATGCCTCACTGGATAAGAGTAGTAAAAAAGAAAACATTCATTAGTCCTAGCAGTGCAGCTTGGGTTTGCTGCAGTATTATGCTGCAATATTATGCTCCAGTAAGGCCACAAAGTGGTAGTCTTTGGAAATCCAGTTAGAGATATTCTCCATGGAGAAAAGGAACAAAAAATTTAGGAAAAAAATGAAGGTAATTAAAAACAAGTACTCTTCAGGGAAAGTGGCAGGTGCCTTTGCTATCTTTGATCAGGTCTTGTGGCTGCCTTTAGAAATTGTGGAATGAATTTGCTCAGAGTTTAAACCCCGACAGACCAGGTTAGGGATGGATGGTACTGAAACCAATTATTTGCTGACATTCTGAGCTCCAGTCTTGATATATTATGAATCCAGAGAAAATTCAGCCTGTCACACACAGGCCCTCAATTCTCAATTATTAACCTTTGGCAATGATTTTGGAACCACCAACTTTCAAAACAGGGCAGCCATTTTACCCCATGATACGTGCTGCTTCTTTTGTTGTTGTGTTCTTGTAATGCCTCCTCTCACCAGTCAGATAACTGACTCAATGTCCACCCAAAAGGCTATAAACAAAACAAGTCATCTTTGCATGCTTTATCAGAGTGCAGTTTGACACAGGTGATGGAAAAGCAAAATAAACCTTTCTCCTGACCTAAAACTGCCTTCATTTTTCTCACTCCAAAGGCAGAAGCAGAGTAAGAATTCTGCTTTTATGACCCCTTTTACTTCTGGGTCTTGTCTCACAGGTATCAGAGAGATTAATGGTAAAACGAATAGGTCCAGTCAGTCCACGTGAGTGCAGATAGATGCAAGAACGAATGTCAGCCTGTCATACACAGAGGTTTATAATGAAAATGATCCTTGCAGCTTGAAAAACATCTTGGTGGGGAATAAACGTGGAGATATTCCAAAGATACTGCACTTTATTGGAGGTTGGCTTTTAACCCAAGTAGCAATATTTTTTTCCTTAAATATTTTTTGTAGTTTTGATTTCAGCTTATCCTCCACTAAGGCTATGACCACATTAGCAAGTATTGCATGGGAATAGGAGTTCATCTGAGGACCCCAGGCCTGCATTAGATGTTTTGCTGCAGAATTTACTTTGGTCTAACTCTAGTTTGGACCTGTAGGCTCAACACCCATTAGTGGTGAGAGTACGTTAGACTCCCTGAAGCGTACCCTTTTGGGTTGGTTTAATTTGAAGCTAAGCCAGTATGTGGGCCTGGAGTCTACTTCTCAGTGCAGGTTTTTTGGTACAAAAAAAAAACGTTTGGGGTCTGAACCAAAACACTAATGTAGATGCTTTGTAAGATTTACTTACTGACCCTATCAGATATGGTGGTCAGAACTCCAGCTATTTTCTACATTTTTCACTGCCTGCTTCCTTGTATACAGCAGGGAAATGGTCCTTGAGCCCACTTGAAAAGAGCCTTGTCTTGGACATGCCTTGATCTTGTCTTTCTTATTTAGCCCTCTTATTTAGACCACCTCACAGAATGATAGGCTTCCCATTTCTGCTGACAAAGAGTACAGCAAGTATGCTAGTCTAATTGAAAATAATACCATTTACAGAAAATGATAGGCAGTTACTACTACAGTAGTAGTAGTAGTGATTTAATGATCACTGATCATTAAATGGTGTGAGCTCAGCAACTGCTTTTCTGCTGAATGTCCTATAAAGTATGAGGTGACAAAGGAGTTGGTGACCTGAGAACAGCTAAGAAATGTGCATAGCGGAATCTGACACAGTAGAGATATGCATTGCAAAATCAAGTAGATGAAGCTATTAAGATTATGATTTTAGTTGCTCCTTTCTTAAATTACCTTGTTTTATGTTAGATGACAGCTGTTTGCATAATGAAAATGAGATGTTGTAAAATGGGTTTTATGGAATTAGTGTATTAATATCAGAAAGGTTATTTTGGTTAGTGAATTTTGGTTTTTGAGTTTTTTTCTGTCAGTTGGGATCTACCTCTTTATGTCATAATGAATACAGCACTGGAAGTAAGTAATCTGATTGCTTGATAAGAATTCTAATACAAAAACAGTCAATCATACCTCAGAGCTGGTATTTAAAATGAATCTAACAGCAAGATTTCCAAGAAAGGCACTATGATACACCTAGTAAATCTCACTGCAGATCAGGATTGATTTGTATACAATAAAAATGGAAGTATGTAATTTTTTACAGTTTTCATATCTGGTTATGCTTAGTGCTCTAGGCTGAGTGCTGTGAACATATCTAGGATGGATTAACAAATTATTGTTCAGATGGATTCTGCATTATTGGTTCACTCCATTATTCAAAACACTACAGATATTTTTGTAGGTATATGAAAACAAATCAGAAGAATGTTTAAATTCTGAGAATTCACTAGTTAAACAAATTATATGTTTATCAGTACAGTAATATTTTAGAATTTTTATTTCATCTTCTCTTTGTAGATTCATAAATATCAATACTTTGGAAAATAACCCCTTTAGAAACAACTTCCATTCAATTTTTCCTCAAATAGGAGAAATTCTTCCTCTAAATGATCCCCAAAAGGAACACTTGCTTTGTAGACTATAGAAAAGTGTATTTCTTATTTAAAGAATAAAATGCATGGACTGTATTCTGTATAAATTCAAACTTTTTTTTTTTCTTTTTTGGCAAGAGGGAGAATTATCAATTCCTGTTAAATTTTCAGAAAGCAGAAGCTTTCCCTGGATTTTGTATGTAAAAAATCAGAATACTTCATTGTGTAAATTATCCAAAAAGAGCTTATTGTCTCAACTCTAGTCTTGTGATAGCTGATTTTAGTGGTTTTTTCTCTTTTACATGAAGAAACACATTAACTCAGTCTGTAAAATGAACTGTCACATGGCAAAGCATTAGCATAATTGGCTGGCACCTATTTCTTGGACATTCTATCTCACAAACTCATGGGTCCTTGTGATTAAAATATGATGAATAGCCTTACTGATAGCTGTCTCCCAAGCAGAATAGCATATAAAGTTGAAAAAGAGATTTTATTGACCTTGGAGTTGAAACTTGAGAACTGGAAATTGTGAAAGCATTTACTCATTTATACTAGCAGTTATAACTACTCAACTGCTATATTATAGTCATCTTATAGAAACTTGCTTTTTAGTGTAATAATAAGATCTTTAGTAATGTTTACTATGAGTATGTAATGTATAGAATACATAGTAATGTATACAATGAGGTATACGAGTATATCTGGAAAAACACAAAGCAAAATCCAGCGGACTTCTGGACCTGATGCCATAGCACGCATTATACCAAATCTTGTGGTTTGTGCTTGTCTGCAGTAGAATTCCTATGTATTCTGCTCTTTGAAAGAATAGCCTTCCTGACTCCTTCTTCATCTTTTGTTAGTAAGCTCAAATTAAGCTCTTAAATTATGTTACCAAACTGATCCTATGGGTCAACTCTTTTATCATAAATTAGCCATATAGGTATCTGGATTTAGGATCTTATTTTACTGTTTGAGATCTCTTTTTGATTCCAGAGTCCCCTTGCAGAACTTCACCTGCAGAGGGAAGGAGTGACTATGTCAAAGATAAGAGTTGAGGCTGCTTCAGTGTGAAAGATGATGCATGTGGCTGAGCGGTAGCGAGTGCAGAGAGAAGGCATTGGCTCTCTGAAAGCCGAGTCAGAGTGGGGAAAAATACTTGAAAGTCTTAAAAATCAAGAATTCTGGTACTATCTAAGGTATAGGCACCATGATTTCTGCACTGTTGTGTACAGTGATCTTTGATATACATGGAACGTACAGTGTATGTCTGAAGCATATTGCATATGCATCATATGCTAAAGTAAAACAGGGAATGCTGTTGCTATGACATGTCCTTAAGTAACATAGATATTAATTCCATTTTGAAAATGTTCTCTGTTGAATATGAGTGAAACTGTTATCCTTAAAAATTAAGGTGGCCAAAAGCGTCTACCTACAAATGATGCACATAATGGTGTAACAGAATTCTGTGGCATCTACACGATTCCTGGCAAACATGCCTCTCTAGTAATGCATCCATGAGCACCTTGTCTCATGAGTGAGTCACATGCTATTGGAAGTAGCAGCTTTTATATATCATTGTGGTTGTTAAATCGAACTCCATTTGTAGCATTATTTCAACACAGCAGGGCAAGAAGAGGTGAGAAAGTTCATGTTGCACAATTTGGAAATATGAAGAAGTTACTTTCAAGAATGGTTTTGTTTAGCATGTGGGTTTGTTTTTTTTTTTTAAAATCTAAGACCCTGTAGCCTAACAAGGACAGAAGGAACTGCTTGGTCCCTTCAAAAAGAGGGAACTTTCCCTCCTTAGAATGACAGAGGAGCTCCTTTTGGTAAGCTAATGAGTCACAGTGTGCTAAATCTTACTGTTGGCACAGGACTTGCACTGCCATCTGTAACATAAAAGTTTCTTTTCTCAGGAATTATGCGACACAATTGAAAAATCATCTTTTTGCTTTCAAAAATTACTGCATGGGAAACAGGAGATTAAGTTTTATAATCGCTGCACTGTTCTTGTTTAGGTGAAAGCCCAGCTTCAAAAGATGGGAGCTATTCAACCCATAAACATATTTCTCCGTCAAGAAATTGATCGCATGCAACATGTTATATCAAGAGTTCGAACTACATTGACTGATCTCAAATTGGCTATTGATGGTAAGTTACAGTATTGAAAATCGTACTAATTTAGATGCAATATTTATTACTAGTGATTGCTTATACTATATAACTAAATGAATATTTCCCCTCCTTACCTCCCTTTCTACCTTTCTCTTTTTTCCTTTCCTCCCCCCAGTTTTTCTGTTTTTCTCTCTCTTTCTCATATGACCACTAATTCTAGCCCTTAAAGCCTCCTGACTGCATCTCTAAGGACACTTAATTTATTCTGTATGCATGTGCTTCAGTATTGCAGTTTATGTCCCACAGCACTACTACACTTCTGTGATTCTCTCTAGAATCTCTACAGAGCTCAGAGGAGCTGAACTGTGTGATTAGGTCCACAGGTCGCTTGCCAGAATAATTTGTGAAATTAAGCTGAGAAATAATGATATAGAACAAGGTAGAAGTGTTGCTGCTAAATAATTGAGAGACAGGACGCTCAGGAGGCCAGGTGGTAAAGACTAATTTAAGGTGAGATTTGCAAGGTTCGTGAAACTGGTTATACTAAATAGGATGTCTCTAAATGGAAGCTGAAGTGAGTGGGAGTGCCAGTCAAAAGAGAAGGATAGGGTTCTGCTTTTAGTCATCACAGGAGGTAGGCAACAGCACCCTGTATCTCTCAGAGACAAGAGTATTTGGCTGAAAGTGAGCAATGGTGAACGTAGTTAAAATAAATCAAGAGTACAGGCGACTAGCAGCAGATGGAAAATTTGATTAGAAAAGAAGTGAGGAAAAAGAAGGGATTGTGATGTTACCGTCTGCTTTTCGTTTTCACTTTCCATTTTGCTCATCTGCAGGAGTTGAATTATCCAGGAAAGAAAGTATACTGTTGCTCAGCCAAGCTTCTTGAATTAACAATAAATGAAAATGAGGAAGGAACAGTTCAGTTCCACCAGTTAAGATCTCACTCAAGTCTGCTGTTCTCCAGTAGAGAGGCAGAAAATATCTGAGACAGCAAACTGTTCCCACAGGGAGAAGGTCAGACTGCCTCAAAACTATTCCTTTCTGATATAGGTGATGGCAGTACTGTGATCCATCTTACTGGTGTTTTCCAGTCTTTTGACAATAAGTCTTTCATGAAGGGACATTTTTGCAATTTGTATTTTTGTTACATAAGAATCAAAACGGATTTTTTTCCTATCATTTCTATAATTGACTGAGGAAACTGCATGTTTCAGAAACATCATGCCTATAATCTGAATCTAGGAAAGAGGTTCATAAATGTGCCCAAGGCTAATTAGCTTCCGTATTCAGTAACAACCTGTGCAAAGATCAAGCTGAAAGAAACAATCGTTCTCTGTTTCAATACTGAATTGAAAGTTCCTTTTTTGTATGTGCATAGAGTCCCTTTTCAAGTAAATTAAAATAATGCTTTCTCTCCAAGAAAGTATTAATCTTTCCTTGATTGTGACAGATATATTTAAAGTCTCAAAATGTACAATATTCTGCAAAGGAGTGTATGAGTAACATAATTTATTTGCACTTAGTATTCTGTTCCACAGTGGGCACAGTACTCTACCAGGTGTTTAATCAAGTTAATGCTGCAACTTTCGTGTAATCCTCTAAAACATTATAGTTTTCTTAGGGACAGGCAAGTTAAATACAGTGAAAAATTGCTCTGAAAATAAAATTGGATGTATAGTTAACAATAACGATTAATGACTTCTGGCAGATTAATGATACATCGAGTGCATGTGGTAGACTGTTAATTAGGAGATGGAAAGAACATTTAGGCACTCTCTTTTGCCTCAGCTAAGGGGAAAACCTCAGACTCTCTCATACTAGGTTTTCTCCCAAAACTAGTCAACTACCATCTCAGATCATCTGAGGTGCTCCTTTTTCTTTACGATGAGATAAACTGATCTGCCTGCTCAAACAGATCATGTGAGTTTTAACATCTGCCCTGGTCACGCATCTGCCTCTAGCTTCTTAAACCTGTTAAGGCCTGAGCACATGCTTACAGCAGATTTAACTTTTCAAACAAATTTTGCGTTTAAGAGAATAGTGCATCTTCATGTAGTGCCATGTAACTTTGTGAAAGAAGGTCGGAATATTTGATTCTGCAGGTTAGATGGGAATAGACGGATCTTGTCATTTTGCTGTTCTTCACTGAGTTATGTTTTGAGTTACATTCGAGTTACTTAATATAAAGCCCTCCTCAGTGAGAGCCCATGTGCGGCTGAACATGGGGGCTGTTGAGGGAATTAGCAGAGCCAGTTTTGTCCCTCTATCCAGAGGGCAGATTAAGTGGTATTCAGCTTTTGGGAGGAGTGAGAATGCTCAGCATGTGTCCAACGTGTTTGTTGGTAGCCATGCCCCGCAAGCCTGCCTCTCCACCAGTAAACTTTGCTGCCTGGAGGGATACTTTTTTTGGATCAAATTGTAATAATTAGCTTGTAGCTGCACATTGTACTCTCAGTTATGTCCCAACTATTAGTTCTGTTTTAATTACTTATTGATTGCCCAGAATTTATTTCACGGTTAGTATAATACAGAGCTTCACATAAAGCAGAAGACAGCAATGATGATTGTCCTCCCAAGTGACCTAAATAGAGGCAATGTTCCAAATAGATGAATCTTTTTAGAGACAAGGAAAGAGCTGTTTTCTCATCTTTTCATCTGGTGAGCAGAACCAAAACTCCAGATCCTAATGGGTTATGAACGTCAGATCTCGAGCCCCTGGCAGAAGGTGATCGTATTCTTTGTAGGGCAGTATACAAGCTGTAGAGTTCCTGTGTACGTGCCTTATCTTCCTCCTGTGGAAGCGTAGATGCCTCTGGCATGGAATATTAATACCCTGGCTGTTTGCTGGGGAGTGGGCACTTCAAACCCCCTCTCCCACTAATGAAGATAGTGTATTTAAATGCAGTAAAATCTAACGACCCATTCAGTTATTCCTAGTCTCCTGGAGTTTGTTTGAGTAGTAGGAAACTGGCTGTGGCCTATCTGTGAGATTGGGGGCATTGTCTTTATTTCTTTATGCACTGAAGTAGGAGTGGTAAGCATTCTGATGGCACCCTGATGTATCTTCTACCAGTGGAGACAGAAGAGAGGTGCTATGGGAGTTATCCCTCGTCCATCTTGACTGGCTTCTGTGAATCTCAGCAGTGGAGCATGCTTATAGTAGCACTGAAAGTGGATATTGAGTCCTTAGCAATGGAAATAAGCACAGCTTCTAATTTGGTTTGATTTCCTGATTTTTTTTAACCTTCTTAACATTCTGTTTAAGCGCTTGTCGTGAAAGAAACAAATGCGTAATTCATTTATTTATGAGTCTGTCTAGATTCTACTTTGGTCATAAAACTGCATCCACTTGGCATTTGTTTCTGGTACCTTGCAGCTTTGTGTTTTCAAACTAATCCTTTGGAACTGCCTACTTCCTGAACAAGTGAAGGCCATACAGGAAACCTTGAATTTGTTATCCTTTCATGTCATCTATGTGCCACATGATCACAGAACTTCCGCTGCAATTTGTGCAGTCCTTGCAGAGTTAGGAGAGAGAAGTCCTTTTCCTGTTAACATATTTCCTGAAAATATAGGAATTCCTGTAAAAGCTTATATGACTTGTAATGTGTAAAGATTTGTTTCCATAGACCCAGAGTTTTGTTCATTACATTTTTCTTAGTACTTGTAAGACAAGCACTGTGCAAATACCTACAGGAGCCATAAGCCATAAAAGACCAACACAGAAGGCAAAGCAGTGGAATCAATACAAATAACCACTTCAGAAGTCATCATGGCATTCATCATGGAGAAGCTCTACCATGCTTAAGCAGACTTTCTGCTGCAACTACCATACGGCACCCCTCATGTTACAAAGCTAGCATATTTTTATGCATGTAATGCACACCATACATAACCTACGTGCCAGGCCTTAAAAAAAAAGTATTCATTTTCTCTTACCCTACACTGAAAGAGAGAGCTTTTGGAATAATAGGATCAGGAACAAGGATATTACTAATGGGAGACGGGACTTTGCTGTTTGCCCTCTTTTTACCCACACAGAGGCGTACCACGTGCATGTTCTTTAAATGATGCGTAGGTTATACACATGAAAACTCATTCAGACACTGGCATGTTTCAGTATATATTTGGTATATTTATGCCAGGTTGAGAGTGTGAGAAAATGTAGGTGAGACTATTGAGACAGATGGTATGGGAGAGTAAAATGTTATGCATTTTTGCATGTGTTTCTAATATTTTTTGAACTTTGTAATTCAGACAAAGCTGAATAATAACTGTTAATAACAAGGCCTTGAGGAATACTGGTGCATTTCATTAGTTTCTGTACATCTCAGTCATCGATTTACTACCTTATTAAAAACTGTTTCACTACCTGCTTTTAGCTCCTGGCCATATTTATACTGCATTGCCAACCAGCACATTGGCCTTAGGTGTTTCCCTACTGTCATTCATGTGAGTATATGTTGAAACACCCAAAGCTTCATATGGATGTGAGGTGGCATATAGTTCTACATATATAATAGGAATCACTTAGAATTCCTGCATCATCAACACGAACTCGTGTTAAGCCCCTGAAAGGACGAGGTAAAGATTCACTATTTTTTTCCAGCTCAGAATACCATCATCTTGACAGTAGTGTTTACATCATGTTGCTGCAAGGAATTTCTGCTCATTGTATGTAGTACCTCACAAAAGGGATATAAATTAACTCCAAAAGAGCCAAAAGAGGTAGCCAATAATTTATTCTAATCTATGTGGTGAAAAGCTGAAGCTCAGGAAACTTGTCTTTCCAGAGTACACAGAGAGGTAATTTCCCACAAAGGGAAATAGTATGGATTCATTCCCACTGACTGGCTAAATTCTGTTTTGACTCGTAATACTTTAAGCCTGCTAACGCTAACACAATTTTAGTTTGGCCTGCTGACGATGGTGATAGACTTTTGGACTGAAAGATCTTGGTCTCTTACCTTACTAATTTTTACAGTATGTACAGTTTAAAGCCATTGCCCATTGTCCTGTCACTACATGCCCTTGTAAAAAGTCCCTCTCCAGCTTTCTTGTAAGCCCCTTTTAGGTACTAGAAGGCTGCTAGAAGGTCTCCCCAGAGCCTTCTCTTCTCCAGGCTGAACAGCCCCAACTCTCTCAGCCTGTCTTCGTAGCAGAGGTGCTCTAGCCCTTGGATCATCCTTGTGGCCCTCCTCTGGACCTGCTCCAAGAGCTCCATGTCCTTCTTGTATTGGAGACCCCAGAGCTGGACACAGTATTCCAAGTGGAGTCTCACAAAAGCAGAGCAGCGGGAGAGAATCTCCTCCTTTGAACTGCTGGCCACACTTCTTTGGATGCAGCCCAGGATGCAGTTGGCTTTCTGGGCTGCCAGCACACATTGCTGGGTTATGTTGAGCTTCTTATCAACCAGCACCCTCAAGTCCTTCTGCTCAGGGCTGCTTTCAATCCATACTCTGCCCAGCCTGTACCTGTGCTTGGGATTGCTCCCACTCATGTGCAGGACCTTGCACTTGGCCTTGTTGAACTTCGTGAGGTTCACACGGGACTAGCTCTCCAGCCTGTCAAGGTCCCTCTGGATGGCATCCCTTCCCTCCAGCGTGTCGACCACACCACACATCTTGGTGTTGTCAGCAAACTTGCCTTCTTACTGACTGAAGGAATTAGCTATTACAGAGAATCTAGGATCTAGTGACTGATCCAATAACAAACCTGGTTGCTTGGGAGGTAAACTTGAGTGGGGATTAAAGGCTGAAAGGCTGAAAAGATCAACTTCTATAGTTGCCACTGTGACAGTCAAGAATAGAATGATGGTTTCACTGAGCTTTTTCCTCTGTGTACTGTTAAGGCTAGCTTAACAGACTCACTGTCTAGCAAGTATTGTCCTCAAGGGATCATCTCCAATCCTATTATATGATGTCAGCTGTTGGTGAGCTGTACTTAATGGAGAAACTAGCTTCTTCTCACCTCATTTATATCCTACATAATTATTCTGGTGATTCTTGATTCACATCTGTGCCTGTGGGAAGAGAATCAGTCAGGGGATTGAGGCTTTTTTTGGTTCACGCTGATGTTTCCTTTGTTCTTAACTTTATCCACTCATTTAAATGGGATGTGCACGTTTTCTAGTCCAGATACAGGCTTTCCTAAATGTGAAATTCAAAACATTGATCCAAATTTTACGAATTCCACAGTTTTCAGATTCAGCTTGTGGTAAGTGTGGTAGTGAAAAGGTGGAACTCCATGAAATAATACAAGGTCCTGATGTAGTCCATACAAAGTGTTATATCTATTGAATGAGACTCCCTAATACTCAGATCAATTTAAAAGAACAGACTGTTCACTTTAATTAGCAATAAAAACTAGTTATCTTCAGAACTGAGTAGCTTTATTTGGCTTATTTTCTACACAGCAATTGGATAGACTTAGATATGGTTTAGAAGTGAGATGGTTTAAATTTAGGGCAATGAAAAAGGCAACTCAGTTTCAAGACTGTATATACTGTGCAAACAGTACAGTTACAGTACATATTATTTTGGAAACATGGACATACCCTAACATCTTTAACTGAACTGACCTTTCACCGGTGATTTTCAGATGGGCTTTATTCCATTCAAGAAAGGGAATATCATGAAATAAATCCAAAAATAACCAAGTTATAAACAGTTGGCCTATCTGATTCATAGAACGTTCAGGCTTGCCTTGTTAAGTTAATAGGACATTCAGTCTCTTCATATGGTAGCCAGTGCTCTGAGCTTCTCTGAAGTTAAATATGAGAAGTGAATGGTGTTGTGCTACTCATTCTATATACCAAATAGTTTTTCAAATGTATTTATCACCTTTCTCCAGAAAAATACAATTACTTTTCTCATGTGTTGCTAATTCTATTTCTGATAATTATTTTTTTGTGATTAGTTTTACTTTTATTGGAGTATTTTAGCTGCAGGATTGCATCTTAACACCCACAGATGTCATTTAGTGTTGAAATTCAAGCACATTATGCCTACTGCCAGAGCTGACATGCACTCGCTAGGAATATTTATGCAGCTGTATGGGCAAGGCCAGAGCTGTGAACATACCTCATCCTCAAGAACACACTGGCTTAGCATTCTCAGCAGCTGCTCTGAGTCATAACGGGCAGGCATCCTAAGAGATTTCACCATGCTGTGAGGCAGAGATTGGTTGTATCTCCCTGCTTGGAAAACTCTAGCCTGCTTACAAGAATAGAGAAGAAAACGTGGCTCTTTCAAAACCCTTCTTCCAGGAGAAAGCTGGCTGCATCAGCCTGAAAACAAGGAAGAACCAGAGATGAAAGAGTTCTTTCTTTCTTAGTTCAGATGGTAATGATCCCCAGGGCTCAAATGGGATGCTCTTCACTGGTTTTGTGCCCTCACTATGGTTGCTCCGAAGTTGAAACCAACATGTGTTGCATGACTTTTTTCAATTGTTCTGTCTCCAGAAGGTGAATAAAGCATATGGTCTAATATTACATTTTTATAGGCAAAGAGGAGATGACACAGAGTGGCTTCTTTCTCAAGTGTTGGTGCTCTTGGTTATATGTTAGAGAAGATTTATACCCAAAGAAAAGGTTTATTAATTGTGTTATAAAAAACTTAGCTATCCCAAAACATGATTCTGAACCTGGCTACTTAGCCATTACAGAGAATGTGGGATAGGCAGTGTTATTAAATATTTGCAGTTTTTTAAAAGTTGATGGTTTTCTCATAGCATTTGTTGCACAAAAAGAAGTGCGTATAAATGAGGGCAGGTCACTGTCTGCTAGAAGAAATTGAAGCCTATTTGCTATTGATATATAGTAGAAAGTACCAGATTTGCATACACTGTTACAGAAGTGTTTAGGTTGGCCACTGTATTCTTCTAAACTAAAAGCTGGCGTTTGGTTTCTGGATATTCTTCTTCTTCCCCAGAACTGGGGACCTGCCAGCCTCAATGGAAGGAAGGGATTTGAAATGCTCACTTATTACAGGCCATATTTCCATACAGGTACATTTGGAAGGGCCACTGCAGTTCTTATTTGCAATCATCCAGACCACTTCCCTTTCCTTCACATGTTCTGTGGTGGAAGCCACCTAATCCTTGTGGCAATTACAGCAGCTGTGTGTACGATGATGCACTGAACATTGGTATTACAGGAACATTTAATTGGAATGGGGGCTATCAGATCAGTTTCTATAATTTAAAATATTTTAGCTGGAATAGAGAAGACATCCTGAGGCATGGCCATGTGCCAGCTCTCTGTACTATTGAGGGTACAGATGTAAGAGCTTCTGGCACATGAAATGGTGAATGTCACTGAAAAATCGCTTAGTAAGTGCCAATATTTTAATGGAGACAACAGTTCTACGCATGGTATATGTGAGTATGCACTGCCACTGCCAAAAAAAAAAAAATCTTGCCTCTAGCTTTATTCTACGTACTGCTTTCCCGTTGAGAATCTTGATAATGGAAATGTACAAAGTTATCATTAATAACAGTGAATTTCATGAATATAATCACTGTCAGTACATGCTTAGGATATAGATGAGTTACACAGTGTATCTCTGTCATTGATCATGTGTGTAGGGACCATTAAAATACATAAAAAAGTTTCAAATGATTAATCACGTTCCAAACACAATGTGAATATAATGAATATAAATATTGTGTGTGAGGGAGAAGGAATTATTTTTTAAAAAATCTTTATTCCTGATCAAAATAACACAAGGAATATCATTGATCTTGTCACCTTTAGCTTTGAATCAAGTCTTATAGGTTTGAGCAAATTAACTGTAAACTGATAAGAATTTAGTGCAACAGGTGTGCAATTAAGGCACGACAAAAGAGGGCTTATTAGACTCAGAATGTCATTTGGAAGTTTTAATTGCCTTTTCGAGCTAGGGGAAAGTTCATTCTGAATGTTTTACTTATCTTCCAGGATCCATAATTATGTCAGAAGAATTGCAGGATGCTTTAGATAACATGTATGATGCTAGAATTCCAAAATTATGGTTTAGGATTTCCTGGGAGTCGGCTACTTTAGGATTTTGGTTTACTGAGCTTCTTGAAAGAAACCAGCAGTTCAGGAGCTGGCTGCAGGATGGCCGACCAAACCAGTTCTGGCTGACAGGATTCTTTAATCCACAGGTAAGATTATCAGATCGATCTTTCTAACTCCTATGTAACAGTTAAATTAGACCTTGAGAGAATTTCAAGCTGACTCAATCATGACTATATGAAGTGTAATCTAAATTCAATTTTTAGCATAAATGTAGGATAAATTAACTTCAACATCTATTGAAGAAAATTTTGCTAGAGCAAAATAACGTTACTACAATAATTGAATGCATCTTCTGGTTGCTCTAATTATAGTGTGGAAATTGAGCAAATACATCTTTTCACATTTCAATGTATCTTCCTTTTTTCCCCTCTGTTACAGTAATCTGTTATTTATTCATTGTATGAAAATCCCTTTGAGCACAAAAAAACCCTAAGTTTCATAACTTCGACATAGGAAGAAGAGGTTTGGACTTGACTCTCAATTCTTGCAAATCAGTTCCTTGAAATGGAAGGTTTGTTATTTATACAGTCCCAGAATTGTGCCAGACTTGGTCTGCAGAGACACATAAAAAGTACAGCCTCTTGCCTGCACCATCTAAAATAAGAACCTGGCACAAAATGAAACACGAAAATGGGAACAGCTGAGAACAGAGCTAAAAGAAGTGAAGTATACATACCTAGATGATGCGTAGTTTCTTTGCACAGCTACCCACATTCATTAAAGCTTTTTATGATTCACAGATGTTTGTGGGAAGTGCGAGTTGTGGAAGTGAGTCATTGTGAGAGTATCCAGCCAACAGGTTTCTGTGAAGCCTTAGCAAAAAGCTATTTTAAAGATCTATTTTAATCTCAGTACTTGTTAGCAATGCAAAAGCTAGCTGAAACAGCTGCCTAGAATAGAGAAAGCAGCAGTGGCAAATATTCTCTAGGACTACTGCTGGGAAATATCCATCTATCATCTATCCTGTCTGTGTCAGCTGTCTGCCGATATCACTTTATAACACAGAAATGTGCTCACAGAATCCCTGAGCAAAGGGTTCCCAAGCAAAAGTGTGAGGGAGAGGAGTAGGAGTTTTAATAAAATTATTATGCTTCTGTACTTGATTTGTTAGCAGCACTAACAGTGTTAGTGTTAGTGGCACCCCAAAATATTCCTAAGTAACTTTTGCAATGATGAGGCTGGAATGCAACCCTAATAGGCTTTTGGTTTTGTTGATGTTTGCTTTTGCACTACAGATGAGCAAGAGCTGATATAGATTCTGTACTGGCCATTTTAGCTGGCTTTTTGGTGCTTTGGGGTTGTGTTAGTTCTGAAATTTTGCTGGCCCAAATTGGACATCTTATATTTTTTTTGATCCATACATCTGGATTTCTCAAAAAAGCTGCCTAATAATTACAGTAAAGTGTCCTCAAACAACTTATGATTTAATAGACTGTAGTAAATGAGAAAGCCTCCAGAAATACAAAAATTAAACACTTTGTAACACATAATTCTAGAAGTCCCTAGATACATTGTGTGCAGAGAAAAATAAAATCCCAGAATGTATGTGATTACCTGATTTAAAAATTTATTTATGCTGAGAATCTCAAGCTTAAAAATCAGATGGCTATTGTTATAATCTCCATTTTTTGTACTACGGGCTGTGGGAGTGGCTTATTCCACAAGAAATTTACCTGAGCAAAGACTCCTTTTATAGTTAATTAACTATTATTTTGTTAATAGTCATATGGCTGTGTTTAAAATCAGTATTTCATATGGTAAGAAAATTGATTTTTGTCTTCTCAAGCAAGTTGAAGTGATGAAGCGCTGCAGCTCTAATCGCTAGTTTGTAATATCTGAGAAATTGTCAGAAAAAATCCTTTCATTTGTGAGATGAAATGCAGCTCCTAAGTAATCTGTGATTTGCCTACTTGCATTGATCTCACTGGTTGCTTTATAGTCAATGGATAAATGCCATAGATAACACAAGACAATAAAGTAGATTTATAGCACTGGAAGAATGAGACATTCTGGCAATAAAAAAAATAATATAGGACCTGACTCTGCCTTCTCTTGGACTGTTTATACAGTAGGATAAATTCAGTAATTTCACAGAAGTTAGTCTTTATTTATAGGGATACAAATGAGAGCAGACTGAGACTGCTACATAGAAGAAACCTGATTCCCTCTGTGTGTCTGCATTGGGCCAAGACAGCTGAGGTGAACAAAACAAGAAGTGCTGCAAATTTTCATCCCTCCTGGAAGTTAATCTGATGTTACTGGATTTTTTCCTCAAAAACTTGACATGATGCGTATCTCATTTTCATCTCCCAATTTCCATATTGTGGTTGATGCTGTTTTATTGTTTCCTTGTTTGTATCTCTGTATCCAGTTGCTGTTGCTTGTCCTATATATGGATTTTAAGCCCTGTGAGGCAGAACTGTCTTTCTGGTTGTATAGTACTTAGCATAATGAACCCTCAGCCTGTTTCTAAGACCCTTAGATGCCAAAGCAGTGTGAAACTAATAAGAATGTGAAGTACAATGCCTCCACACCTCAGTACCCACTTAATTTTAGTAAACCTGCAATAATTTTCTCACTGTAGAAATTGAAAAGTGACAAACGAGGAACCTCCTAAGCAAGGTAAAGGAGAGAATATGACTGTAAAAGCAATAGACTTAACTGATTTCCATATTTCTTGTCATAGCTTCTATGGACGCCTGCTTCTCCCTCACTAGAAGTTTCAGGGTTAGTGTGCATGGGTTGTTAGAAGGCAAAGCGACAAAGCTTTACCAGCCTTCAGTGAGCAGGTCAGGGAGAAGTTCAGGAAAAGTCAGGTGAAGAAAGAAGAAATAATTTTCCTTGTTTTTGAAACCTCAACATCCTCCCCCCAAAAAACCCACACAAAACCAAACAAAAATACCAGGGCAAATATTACCAGAAATCAAGACAAGTGTCATGGCACGTGGTCCATTATGTCCCTGACAGAGGGTTTAGCGGAGAGCCAAGCCCTCAGCTGTACAGTGGCACCTCAAGCCACTTAATTCTTTCTTGCTGTTTGTTGTGCCATTCAGCTGCTCTGGGATACCCAGCTGGGCCTCCAGCTCACAGCTGTAGGCTTTAAACACTGTCTAGGATTCATTCAAATGAGCAGATAAGTGTTAGAAGTCCCACTGCAGACAGCGTATAGATCCTTCCATCTCTGTAGGAATAGTCAGCAATCTAAATCTTATCCCCGAAGACAACTCACAGCTCTGAGCATACTTTTATTCCAGTGTTTCCACAGTGCCTTTGAACTGATTCCCTTAGTATGGTCATTCCTCTGTCCTGTCCTCTTCAGGCTCTTCTTTCTTTAATATTTCAGTTTATCTGGGATCTAGTAGCCCTCTGGGGCCCTCTGGCAGCGAACACTTCGTGTGTTTTAAACTAGTGGTACAAGCATGTTTCTACAAATTAAAATTCCACAAATTAACTACAAGGATTCTGCTTTCATTTAATGGCATTTCTTATAGAAGAACTTGCCCTTTAATTCTGTCTCCCTTAGCTATATACTAGAGTTCTCAACTACTTCAAACGCAATTATGATAATCTGTGCTATCACAAAACCTCTTTAAAACACCTGTCCTGGGGTCTCTGGAATGATATTAATGAGAAGCAACCAATGTCAGTTAACTGGAACATCTGAGTTCATGAATGTCATCTTATGTTCTCATAAAGAGTACTGCACAGCTACAAAGTGCTTAGCAAATGCAAGAAGCGCTCCAGTCCCAGCAGCTGGAGATTGGCCCCTGCATGCAGTAGACCAGCATGCTCGTGTTCCTGCATCTGACTTCTTTCCATTCATTTGGCCCTAAAATACCTCAACAGAGCATCCTGAACTGTGAATATCGAAGAAAAATAAAAAGCTTGTTCAATTCCCTCATTGCTCCTGATTTCTTCCTAGCTGTGCTGTTGGCTCTATAATACCTACCTTTGTGTGTTCCTCATGTGGCTCTGTATTCCCTCATCTCTATCTCTAGATACCTTCTTTCTCTGCTTTGAAATCTGTCCTGAAACTTCTTCCTTCCTAGTTCTTATCAGTAAGTCCCTTGCTCTTGCATCTTCAATTTTTGTGTTTTATTCATTCATCTCCCGGCTATGCAAATGGGTTTCCATAAGGTAAAATAAGGTGTACATCCACAGCATGTCCCCTTGAAGTGCAAAGCAGCCTACCCCCGTCTCTGAGGACTAAGGTACTTCCATGTACTGCCGTGCCCGTGCACATGGATGGTTAGTTACATGAGAGAAACTCAGCAACATCTTCAGCCTGACTTGTCTGGTGGTAGCTTGTAACCGTATCATGAGATTGTAGCTCTTCAGAACAGAGAGCGAGTTTCATTCTGCTGAAGTGCTACAAGTTTATCTTACTGGTGTCTTCAAAACTGCGTCATTGTAGTGCATTAAGGCAGAGGCGTTTCGCTGTTCAATTGCACGGTTCCAGTTTGTACTTCGTTTGTGTTCTGTAAAATGCTTCACAATTTGTTGAATGAAAAGCATTTTTACGATGTTAGTATCAGAAAAGATGAGTGACACAGCGCACGAAATACCAGTGTTATTTGTGGCTTAGAAATTACCTGTATTTGGAACCTCACAAAACATACTGATCTGTGTAAACCTGGTTGGCTGTAGAGTAGGCATGTGAGGTGAGGTGAGTTGTACGTGCAGCTTCCGATATGTTAAATATGCCGATTTGGTGGCTTCTTAGCACCAACACGAACTCACCAAGTATATATACTGGGAGAGTGTAGAAAAGCATTGGATTTACACTGCTGAATTTAATTTTATATGTACATGAGATTCTGTGTGATGAAGTTTTATGCTGCTGATATCACTTATATAGGAAAAAAAAAGTTGGAAATGGGTAAATTCAAGTTTTTTTAAAACCCTCTATGTCATATTCAATCTCTTCAGGGATTCCTAACTGCTATGAGGCAAGAGACAACTCGCATGAATTTAGCAAAAGGGTGGGCGCTGGACAGTGTTGTTTTACACAATGAAGTGACCAAGATGATGAAAGAAGATGTTGTTGGCCCTCCTCCTGCTGATATTGGTGGGGTTTACATATATGGCCTTTTCCTCGAAGGGGCAGGTTGGGACCGCAGAAACAGTAAGCTGGTCGAGTCAGCACCAAAGGTAAGGATCAAGTGAGCATGACTGACTGTGGCATAATATGGTGTGCTCAGAGAACACCAGGAAGTATTCTGAGTGCCTGCAGAAGTGGTTTCACAGCAGGTTGAAGAGGGTAAAATACTAGCAGGGCTGGGAAGGGGACAGAGTGTTTACCCACCAGAACCAAACAAAGACTTCTGTCAGAAAATGAATTTAGGATGCGCTGCACTAGAGCAGAGCAGATGCTAAGCTCCTTGGCTTCAGGGGCCCTAGAAGCACAGCTGTGTTTGAATAAAAAAGTGCAACCCATAGTCAGTCTTCTTTTGACTGACCAAGTGGGACCCTATCATAACTTCCAAAGCCCAGGGCTGGATTTGATGACAGCTGCTGTGGAGGTCGGTGTTTGGATGACTAGAAATCCTTGTAATTTGTTTTTGAATAGAAGGAAGAGTATTAGTTCTGGGCTTATGCTCAGTTATCCATGCATGGAGTTACATTTTACTGATGTGACTAAGCACATGTGAAACCTAGTTATGGAGTAGTGATTAGATGCTCTGGTCACTGCCCAGGGAAAGCTGCTGTTGACTTTTTCCAAACTAGTGATAACTGTCCTCGAATTGGAGTTGAGGTAATTCCTCTCCATAGGTAAAACAGTTCCGTGCCTGGCTGAGAGAAAACTTCTCCAAACTAAACCTTGCCAGCTGTAGCTTCTGGTGACAGCTGTTGCTTGTTTTGTCAAAAGACACCTTCAAGTATCGAGTTTACTCAAGTGTTCTGGAGTCTTCAGCAAGCGTCCATGTTGCTCTTGGGTTTGGGTCTTTTTTTTTCTCCTGCCAATGAATACTTTATATTGCCGGAAGACCTGAGGGGATCTAGTCTGGATAAACACCCAAGAGGCCACCTTGGATCTTTGAAGCTCGACTGCCAGCAGTGTAGAGCTAACAAGGAGACTTGCTAAATGCAGCTTGGCCTTTGTAGCTCCAGTCCTGCCATTCAGGGAACAGGAGATGGGGAAACAATGGGGAGCACTTGCCAAAGGGGCAAAGGACAGGAAAAAAAGACAATGGCCTCTCTCCCTCCTAGAACCACCCTGTCATTTTTCCATCTACTTCCATGGCGTTCAATTTTCCAAGTTTCTGCTGCTTTCTTTTTCTTCCAGGCTTCCTGACGTCTGTTGTCCTTGAGCTACCACTGGCTTAACGTTAGGGTCAATGCAGTAGTGAGCACAGGACTTGTGTTCTCATGTGTACCTCTAGCAGATGCTTCTGCTAGAGGCCATCACTGAATGCCGTTCCAGTGTTTGGAGTTCAGACACCCTATCCTGCTTCTCTAATGCTGAGTCCTATGTTTCTTTTAACATCCTCAGGTGCTGTTCACAAGTCTTCCTGTAGTCCATGTGTATGCTGTCAGCACAACAGCACTACACGACCCAAAGAAGCAACAAGGAAGTGTGTATTCCTGTCCTGTCTACAAAAAGCCTCGCAGAACAGATCTGACGTACATTTTCTCTTTGTATCTGAAAACAGTGCAGAATCCTGACCATTGGACTTTACGGGGGGTTGCACTGCTCTGCAATTCAAAATAAGGATCAACAGGTAGCTATAAAGAAAGAACCGCCTAGGAATATTGATCTGCAGCCAGTAGGACTTCTGTTGTTATTGACAAAGTGGTGGCTACCTTCTCATAGGGGTACGGGAATTAGCAAGTGACATATAGAGATTGCGTTAATTGCACATAGATCAGTTTACCCTGTTCACAGCAAAAATACTGAATGTATTTAACCTGGGAATATCAGAGTTGCAGTTGTAAAATTTGGCAACTGTTATAAAGCAAGTGAGAATATAATCAACTAGCTTGCACTTAATGGAAACACTAGGAAAAAAAGTGCTTATGATAGTGACAACTGCTTTGACATTTATGGTGGTTCTTTTGTAGATGTTATCTTTTCTTCTTAATACAAGACTTTATCAGAATAGACTAGGATAGAATAAAATAGAATAGAATACTTTTTAAATTCAACTCTGTAGTTAAAAACTTATCATCCACAGCATTATTAAAGCTGTAATGAAAAGTGCATTAAATGTATGGTAAAAATTTATGTTTATCTGCATATGTTCCAATGCACAGTTCCTTTGATTTTGCATTTGTAAACCTACTGGGTGGTTTCACAAATGGATGAGACCATTTCCTTGGATAGTCACTTGTTTATGCAAACGGTCATAGAAGTTGTACCAACAGGCGAGTTTGTCTCTGCACAAGTAGTGGCCTTTGCACATATTAACTCATTTCTAAACCTATATCTCATTCTAAGGAAGATGTGCCCCCCTCCCCCCGCCCCCTTATTAGCGAGAAAAAAGGTTTGAAACTCTTCTCAGAGCAAACACATCTGAACACCAGTTTGGATCTATTAGTATTCGCTCATTTGGTGTTAGTGACTGAATCCTGCAAACTCAGCTCTCTTAACTGCTTTCTATTCTGTATTTTGCATCAGCTTAGGTAACAAAAAATTAGAAGACACATAGGCCATTGCTGGGAGTAGATCCACTTGAAATGGTCAAGTCATTTTTGTGTGTTACCACCATTGCTGTCTACCCTGCAATTGAAGGGTGATTGCTGCGGCTCTTTTAACAGATGGACAGCTATTGGCAGAAAACATGTTTGGCTTTTTTCACTAGCACAAATTCAAAGCAAAAGAAATTGCTGTTGGATGTTATGAAGGAAGGACTTGCAGTGAGTGCTTTGTTAATCACTTTTTTCTCCTTGTAAACACTTTCAATTTTCATGTAAACACTTCAATTTCCTTTCAGCTGGCATCTAAGAAAGTAGTTCATCCTTTCCATAATGAGCTTTACTCTGCAGTTAGCAATTGCAGGGCTCTTTCCGTGAGGAATTCTGATGTTCACACTCCCACCCACAACTAAGCAGAAAGTACTGGATTTGTTCTGGGAAAACAGAGCAGACAGGGACAGGGTTCCTTTCTCCCACTAAGCTGGGAGCAGCACTGGTTTCACAGGCAGTGCTGGTGAGATTATCTTACCAAGTGAAACTACCCGTTCAAAAAATATACACCAGGCCTCCCTGCAGTATCTACCTCAACTGATTTTATTGAAAATTTTGTTTCTGAGAAGTGTGAAGGACTGGGCTTCAAGCCATGCAAAGCTCTTGGAAATTACGAAAAAGGTAAGAGGGACTTCAAGCAGGAAAAGGCTGTGCTATTGTATGGAAATTGAGGGTGTAACCCATAGCGTTCTCCCAATCCTCTACCTGTATGAGGGGATATGCAGTAATTTAACATTGATAATAACTTAAAATGAAGACTGTAAATTGAAATACTTTGCACACCGGAAGAACTCACTACTTGCTACGAAAACAAATCATCCTCCGAACAATCGAAGTTAAAAGTAAACATTAAAAACTACGTATTTGATAGAGGTTATATGTGGTGCTACATAATAAGCTCCATGAAACCTGCATCATTCCTTTCTTTTCCAAGTAAAATGAGAAAATTAAATGCTATCTAAAGAAAATCTATAAGCAATTATGTTTTAGCACTTAGTGTTCTGCTGTATAAAAATGCAAAGAAATAGCTTCTTTGAACTGTGACATTTCCATTTCAATAACTAAACCCTGTTTGTCGGTTTAGGAAAACATCAAATCTTGCAGAACAGAATACAGGCCATGTTTCAGAAGAACCAAACAAATTCATACAGTGTTTCACTGAAGATAGGTACAGTTTTATACCGAACTGGAAGAAGAACATAAAGTCACCTGGTTCCAGAAAAGGTTTCCTATAACTAGTAAAACACCATTCAAACAAAACCTCCAATCTATCCTATAAGCAAAACCTTTTTTATTCTTTTTGCATGTACTTGCAGTGCAGTGATGTACAATTTACTATCAAAAGAAATACCTTCCTCTCCCTGTCTCCCTCTCTTGCCCTGTCTTGCCTTATCGTTCAGTGGAGTTGCTGCTTCTGATCTGACATTAATTTGATTTGAAATGTCATTGAATAACGTTGACCTTCCCCAACCAGTGTTCCCTAGTTACTATTGCTAAAGCTGTTTCGCTCCAAGTGTGGTGTACACCAGACTAAATGAAAGAACTGGCAGGCAGAATATTTGAAATGAAACTAATTATATTTAAATTGTAGATTAACAATTAGCTGGGAGTCCTCAAACAATGTATATAGGTAACCAAGTTATGCTCTGCTGTTCAAATGAATCTGAGATATTAAATACAATCACACAGCTTTTGGCAATATTGTACAAGTTTCACACAGACAGTGATGACCAACATTGCTTTCGGTAAGTGCTTTGAAGGCAACTCCGTTCACGAATGAAGAGAGCAATACAGTCTTGCGCCCCATGTCAGCGTAGCGGCCGTGTTTACAAACATATCTGATGTCAGGGCACTGGCTCCTGAGTGTTGCAAATACACAGCATTCCATACTCCAAAGGGTGTCTGTCTCATAATCCCTGAGGCTGTGGCTGGTCGATAAGGAAGATGATAGGAAACAAAGAATTGGGTTATGGATTGGCCCTGTACTTCAGCGGCTTTGTAGAATAGATTTTAATTGCCGTGAACCTCAGAAAACGCACAGAGAATGGAAAACAAAACAGTTCTCTTGTCTGGTCAGTTATGTTCATGATCCTGTGATCCTCTGGATAGAGTAACAATTATTTAAAAGATCTTGAGGAAACTTCAGTTCTAATATTCTATTTTTTTCTCTGTTTATCCAGAACCCATGCATTGATCTCACTACTCTTTTACTCCTTCATATCCTTGCCTTTCTCACAATTGCATCTTTCCAAAACGTGAACACGATCTCATATTCTCTTTTCCTCCTGCTATTCCATATTTAATGTGTCTTCTGCTTTTTTATTCTTACCCTGTAAGTGCAGAAAATGCATTGCTTACCTACGTCAAACCTTTCTCTTCCAGAACTCTAGAAATAATCTTAGTAATTTTAAGAGCTTTGCTTTTCCACTGAGAAGAAACGCAATTTCCTCAAAAACCTATCATTCCTGCCACATTTTGTTACACCCTGGATAACTGCTCTTTCAGCAAGGGCCCTTAAAGGCAAAGATTTGTATATCTGAATGGACATTTTTCATAGTTCTTCGTTTTGCTAATATGAAGTAGCTTTGGTTTTGTTTTCTGCTTAGAGGAACTGGTATAAGATAGTGAAAAGCGGTTTTATACTGTTGTAGGTAAAACTAAAGGGAGTGGTTAGGCTGTAAAGTGACTGCTAAATCAGTCTTGAAAATACAGCAGATTTCCATGCGGGTTCCATTTTGGGTTAAGGATGGCTATTTGGCTAAGGATGGCACACTGCCAGACGGAGGGGGAGCCCCTTCCTTCGTTTGCATGGCTTGGCTTTTGTCAGGAAGACACCACTACAGACACCCGTGTAAATGATAGAACACCACCAACACATGTTTTGTGATATAACACAAACTCACACATTTTTCTAAAGCTGAGCGAGTACATACTGTGCTATCTCTTGTTCAGTAAGCGTAGTACGGTGTGTTTGCTAATCCATTCCTTATACTGATTGCTTCAAGTCTAGCAAAGGGACATCATCACCTCCTCCACCTTCTTTTCCTTCCTGCTTAAGAAGGACTTCTGGGATTGTCACTCCTTTTTCAGTTGACTGGGAAGCACCTTTTGTTGCACTATTCTTGTCTTTCTTTACCTTGGTAATGACTTCTGTGTAAGAGATTTCTTCAGTGAAGGGCTCCGCTGCTGCGAGCTCAGAGGTGATGTGCACGCCCGCTTCCTGGATCCCCTCCTGACCTTCGGCTCCTGTTCGCTCTTTATTTTTTTTATGGATCTTGAACGTCTCCTTTGTTGGGGCAGCTTGTGAAATGGTTTTCTTGATCCTTATCCCAGATTGCTTCAGTCTCTCACCTGACTGCCTGATCCTCTCTCTCCTCTCAGGGGTCACTATTCTAGTTCGAAGCCTGTTTACCTTCTTGCCAAAATTCTGTCTCGTCTTTTGGATGTTTTCCCTTGAAAATGCCTTTTTGATGTCATCTATGCGCCTCATGCCTGATTTCTTGAACTGGGTTGCTTTGCTTTCTTCGATATAATATTCTTCATCAGAAGACAGATCATCAGGTGGGAAGAAATCATCCTCCAGAGTTTCACCTGCTGTCCTCTCTTTGATAACAGAGAGAGATGAAGGACACTCGGTTTCCTCCTGTGAATGAAAGCACAGAGTCATTTTCCACAAAGTGTGTTTTACAAGGATGGTTATTCAAGCATTTTTATTGGCTTGCAGTTAATTAATGCTAACTGAAATACAATATTTTAACAAAGTAAGGTAAGCTTGGACCACCGTATGTGATCTATACAGAATACAAATGGCAGAAGAAACCTTTGCCGAGTTTTCTAAAGAAGATATCATACCTGATTAAAGATTTCTTGTCAGTGTGGTTGTACCTGAAGCTAATGAATGCCATGGTCCATGTTTACTGGCCCGTGATGGTTTTCAGAACATATTTGTCTAGCTCATGTTTTTTTTGAAGCTGATCTGCTTCCCGGAGATTGGATCTAGATCCAATTGGTTATTCCTCACCAACAAAAGTAGACAACCTGTAGAC